CCGCTCCTCCTCGGTGGAGGACTGGCTGCAGCAACTCGAGGACTACCTCGATGCTGCCCAAGTCGCCCCCACCCACCACATCGTCGCCGCCAAGCTCTGCTTAAAGGACCAGGCGTACCGTTGGTACCGCCGCCAAGGGTTCGACGAGCAGAGCGAAGGTGTGTTTGACGACTTCAAGGACCGCCTCCGTCGCCGCTTCGGCAGCCCCAATGCTGAACTCATTGCCCGTGACAAGCTATACTCTCTCGTGCAGCGTGGTTCTGTGACCCGCTACATCGAGGAGTTTGAAGACCTCTCCTCCCAGATTGAGGAGCTGGGCTCTGCTGATGCGATGTACCTCTTCCAGAAGGGCCTCAAGCCCAAGATCAGAGAGTACATCGCCAGCAACCCTGATGCCCGCAAGTCCCTGGACGTGATGATGGACGTTGCCGAGAACCTCGACAACGTCCAGTACCATGGCCGCCAGTTCTACCCGCAGCTGGCAGGCGGCCATCGGTCTCATCACGTCCCAGCCCGTCCGCCTCGCCCGGCCCCGCCCGCAAGACCCATGCCTGAGCCCATGGACGTTGACGTCAACGCCATGGAGGCTCGTGGCCCTCCCCGCTCCCGGTTCCAGCAAGCTGCCACTGTCTCCCCCAAGGACAGACAGAAGCAGGAGGACCTCCGCCATGGTTCCTGCTTCTTCTGTCACCGACCGGGACACCAGGCCAAGGAGTGCCCCATGAAGTCGGGAAACGGCCGACCCTACTAGGTGGCTCTGGAGCCCTAGTAGGAGACCAACGCCGTGGATTGCTCAATGCAGTCCACGCGTCTCCAGAGGAAGTTCACCTCGCCCCCTCCCCCGAAGGAGAAACAAACCAAGTGTTGTGCGTCGTGCGAGAGGTGCATGGTGGCGCAAGCCGCCTGCCTCTCCACGAACGTGAAGAGAAAACCAAAATTGAAAACCAAAACAAAAAAGAAAATCAAGAACCCTTGAGGGACAGGACCGCCTGTGCCCTCACCCCTGTCAAGTCGTGTGTGTCGGATGCTTCCGACATGTGTCCGCAAGCCGTGGACGTCGTGTGCAATGGCGTGCTGACGCCGCAGGCCCCCGCAATGGCCGAACCCTATCCAAAATGTCCGAGTGGCCGTGATGAAGCCAACCAAGACCAAGTGTCGCCCGTTCCCCCAAGTCAAGTCATGGTGCAGGAGGCTGTGCAGGAGGACCATGAAGAGTCCCTGCTGTACCTCCCTGCCACCGTCCAAGGTCACACCGTCCGAATGATGGTGGACTCTGGAGCAAGCTGCAACTTTGTCAGCAGACGCTTGCTCCAGGAGCTCAACATACATGCAACCAAGAAGAAGTCGCCGATGAGTGTGGCGCTTGCAGACGATCGTGTGCAGCAGTGCACACACCAAGTGGTCCTGCGAGTGGCCCTCCATCCCAAGTACCATCCTGTCCTGTTGTTCCAAGTGATCGACACCAAGTTCGATGCCATCCTCGGCATGAGCTGGCTTGCTCGTGCCGAGCCGACTCCAGTCGTCGACTGGAAAGGCCGCACTGTCCGTGTTGGCCCTGACATTGTCCTGCAGGGCATGGCCTCACCCAACATGCCACCTCTCCTCTCAGCCATGCAATTCAAGAGGCTGATCAAGAAGGACACGTCGTTCCTCTGTGTCGTGCGTGAGGTCGACGACACCGACCAAGCCGGTCCCGGTCCCCCGCCTGTGGTGACCAAGCTGCTCGACGAGTACAAGGACGTATTCCCCGACCAGTTGCCACAATGCCTGCCACCCCAACGCACCGTCGATCATCGCATCGACATCGAACCAGGCTCGTCGCCTCCGTCAAGACCGACGTACCAACTGTCGCTGACGGAGATGGACGAACTCAAGCGCCAGTTGGATGACCTCCTCGCCCATGGGTTCATCCGCCCGAGCCAGTCACCGTATGGTGCACCAGTGCTCTTTGTCAAGAAGAAAGAAGGTGATCTCAGGATGTGCGTCGACTATCGCGCACTAAACAAACAGACCATCAAGAACACCTACCCGTTGCCCAGGATCGACGAGTTGATGGATCGTCTGAGTGGAGCAAAGGTCTTTAGCAAGATAGACCTCCGCTCAGGCTACCATCAGATCCGCATCCACGAGGATGATGTCCACAAGACCGCCTTCAGGACTCGCTACGGACTGTACGAGTTCCTAGTGCTGCCGTTCGGATTGACGAACGCACCTGCCACGTTCATGCAGCTGATGAACGATGTGTTCCGCCAAGAGCTCGACAACTCTGTCATCGTGTACCTGGATGATATCCTTGTGTACAGCAAGGATGAAGCGACCCATGAAGGTCATGTCGCCCGCGTGCTGGCCAAGCTACGCGAGCACAAGTTGTATGCCAAACTGTCCAAGTGTGAGTTCTTCAAGAATCAAGTCCCGTTCCTGGGACACGTTGTCTCAGGAAGAGGAATCGAAGTCGACCCCGCCAAGGTCAAGTCTGTGGTCGAGTGGCCGCCGCTCGCATGCGTCTCTGACGTGCAGTCGTTTCTCGGTCTCGTCAACTACTACCGCCGATTCATCCCCGATCTGGCGCGCACTGCCGGTCCACTCACAGACCTACTCCGCAAAGAGTGCCCCTTCGTGTGGGACCACCCACAACGCCAAGCGTTCGAGACCCTCAAGCACGCCTTGACGAACGCTCCTGTCCTCGCTGTGTTCGACCCGAACACGGATGTCTCCGTGCACACCGACGCCTCCGACTTTGCGGTGGGAGCTGTTTTGATGCAGGAGGGAAGGCCCGTTGCCTTCGAGTCGCGCAAACTGTCCCAACACGAGATCAACTATCCCGTGCACGAGAAGGAGCAGCTTGCGATCATCTACGCGCTGCAGAAGTTCCGAGTGTACCTCCACGGTACCGCCAAGCCCTTCAAGATTGTGACGGACCACCAGTCACTGCGTTACCTCGACACCAAGAAGAACCTGAGCCGACGCCAAGCGCGATGGATGGAGTTCCTCGCCGAGTACAACTACGAGGTTGTATACCAGAAAGGCAAACTCAATGTGGTGCCTGACGCACTGTCCCGACGCCCCGACTACCAATTGGCGTCACTGTACGAGTCGACTGTCAGTGTCGACAACACGATGCTGGATGTTGTCCGAGACAACATCGCCAACGACAAACAGTTCGGAGAACTGTTCCGAAAGGTGTCTAAGCTCCCCAAGGACGACGAATCATCCGAGTACACAGTGCGTGATGGCCTGCTCCTCCTGAAGAAGGACAGCCGTGTCTGTGTGCCGGACATTCCGTCGTTGAAGACCAAGTTGCTCCAAGAGGTCCACGACTCGCCCCTCGCTGGACACTTTGGAGTCGAGAAGACATACGACCGACTGGCCAAAGTCGCATACTGGCCTGGAATGAAGCGCACCGTCGAGAAGTACATCGAGTCCTGCCATACCTGCAAGATGGTCAAGTCACGCACGACCCGAGAGCAAGGATTGCTGCAACCCCTGCCTGTTCCCGACCGCCCCTGGACCAGCATGTCCATGGATCTCATCACGCATCTACCGACGACCAAGTTGGACCACGATGCAATCGCTGTCTTTGTCGACAGGTTCAGCAAGATGGCACACTTTGTGCCGTGCCAGACGACATGCTCCGCGCCTGACCTTGCACTGCTGTTCTTCAAGCATGTGTTCAAGCACCACGGCCTCCCAAAGTCCATCGTCAGTGATCGAGACCCCCGATTCACCTCCTTGTTTTGGACAAGTCTGTTCGACCATCTCGGCACCAAGCTGAACATGTCAACCTCGCACCACCAACAAACGGATGGACAGTCCGAGCGGACGATCCGCACCCTCGAGCAATACCTGAGGACATACGCCTCGACCAGCCAAGACGACTGGGACATACAGCTGAGTCATGCAGAGTTTGCATACAACACCGCCAAGTCGAGCACAACTGGCTTGAGCCCCTTTGAGGCGCTCTACGGATTCCAGCCTGATGTTCCCACCTCCTTGACACTGACCGAGTCCACGGCTGGATTGCCTCCCAAACCAAGTGCCTTTGTCAAAGATCATCAAGTCCGACACAAGATGATCGCCGACGCGCTCACGGATGCGCAACAAGTGATGGCGAAGTACTACGACCGCCGACACCAGGATGTCTCCTTTGAAGTTGGAGACCTTGTCTACCTGGACGCCGACAACATCAAGGTCCCCGAAGCCCAGTCAAAGAAGTTGTTGCCCAAGTACCGAGGACCGTTCAAGATAGCGGCCCGACCCAGTCCCCTCAACTACCTGTTGGACTTGCCACCTGGAAGCAAGCTCCATCCTGTCTTCCATGTGTCCAAGCTGCGTCGCCACACGACCCGCAGTCCAGCACAGTTCCCCGACGCCGACGAAGGTGTCCCGGACGACGCACCACTGGAAGACGACCTCGGACAATACTATACTCAAGAATATGAAGTCGAAAGGATCGTGAGGCACAAGAAAGTGGCTGATGGGTCACTTCGGTTTTATGTCAAGTGGGTTGGTTACCCACACTCGGGCAACACATGGCAAACACTGGAGGACTTGTCCCATGCACCCGAGGAGCTGAGTAAATACGGTAAACACCTCGAGGAGCCCCAAATAAAGAGCACACGCAGGGCTCCTCGCAGGAAGCCTTCTTAAGTGTGGGAGTGTAGGAGATGGTATCTCCGACGCTGTGCTGCGCGTACTGCGCGTACTGCGCGGCGCAGTGGGTCGTGACCTGTGCTGCGCTTTGCGTTTTCACGCACCGCAGGCAGGCCACCGCAGGGTATACCTGCGGGTTGCCCCCGTTCCCCCCGTTTGTCTGGAGTTCGGTTTTATCGTGAATAAACGTAAGTGCTCCCCGAGCTCACCCGTCCGCTAGAGTAGCCTAGCACCGCCCTGTTCTGCCCCGTCCTGTCTTGTCTTGTACCCCCTCCCTCCCCGTCTTGCCCCAACGTCCCAGTAGTGGACGTTACACCGCGTCGGCCCGGCACTCCGTCGGTGCCATGCACCTCAACTGCGGCCTTCCCAAGATGTCGGTCCGTGTCAAGATGCTGGCCCTGCAGAACTGGGCCCGCTGGGACGACCAAGTCTCTGACGGCGACAAGATGCTGTCGATGATCCTGCGCAACAAGATCATTGCGCCCTACCACCCCGACCAGTTCCTCGGCCAAGGAGTCCGAGCCGATCCGCACTGGGCCATGGTGGTCCGCCGACAAGAGGCCGACCACTCCCTCACGGCCACGGAGATCTACCGAGGCAAGACCCGACACCAGCCGCCGCCGCCCGGACCGCCCCGACCCCAGCCCGTCCCGATCAAGACCCTCATCTTCGAGGACCACATGAAGAACGGCTTCGACCGCTCCAAGCAGCTCACCGCCGCCTGCACCCCGTCGACCAAGATGTCGGGACTCTGGGAGGCTCGCGGGTACCAAGGATCCATGATCATGCTCATGTTCATGGTCCGATGGCGACTCGGTGCTCTCCCAGGCCACTTCAGATTTGGCTACCGCAAGTGCAAGAACCTGGCTCGACACGGATCCGGGATCGACTTGACCAGGACCCACGCACAGCAGTGTGTGGATCCGCATCAAGTCCTGGTCCGCAAGGTCGCAGCCCTCAAGACGGCCCACCCGACTTGGGTGGAAAGTGGTATAGCCGGAGTGGGACCAGTGGACAAGCTGCTGGACCTGCTCAGTTTCGATCGCACTCCCCCTCGCAGTCGCACCCCTCCCGCACTTGGATCACTTGCTGCTCATGTACCCGCTCCCCGCACTGCCTTCCGAGCATTCGCACTTGGTGCACACCCAGCACCACCACCCACTCCCACACCCAGTGTAGTCCCACCCTTGCAGTCTCTCCCTGCACCCTCATCACAGCGTAGTATAGTGTCAGCACTTGTCATTCCTCCACCCCGACCCCCCCTCGATCCTGCTGTTCCCTTGTGGGAACTGCTCGAAAATGTGTTCACCCGCTTGGTCTCAGACCTTGTGGGCAGCTGAGGCAGCACTAGGCTGCAACAGGAGTAAATAGGCTTGCCTGTGTACTCAACGTGCCGGGGTACCAACCTGTTGGACCTGATGGCTTGTCTTCTTGAATAAAGTTGACTATAGTAACAAAAAAAAAAAAAAACCTAACCTAACCTAACCTAACCTAACCTAACCTAACCTAACCTAACCTAACCTAACCCTGACAACACCGTCCTTCGCCTAGTAAACCAGTCGTTACCCGCTCACTCCAGTCCGTCCGCTCTCGTCCAGTCCCCAGTCCTGTTACAGAGATCCCGGAGAGGAGCTCCCATGGCCAGAGAGAAAGGGTCCCCGAGCGGGACCTGGAGACATGCGAGTCCCTGTGGGACCTCTTGGAGGAAGTGTTCACCCGCATGGCTCGCCGTGTGGGCTGGAGAGTCGGCGAGAGCCGCAACAGGGGCGTGTGAGCCTGCTTGTACGCCCACTGCCGGGTACCGCATGGTACTGATGGCTTGTTGAATATTCCTGAATATACAACTATTGTAAACAAAAAAAAAAAAAACAGACCATTGATGTTGGAGGCATGAATAGCCTGCTTTGGAGCACGGTTACAAGCAAGCTCCAGGGCACAGTCGAGTGCAGAAAGTGCAAGAAGACCTCGAACACCCCATGGAAGACTGTCAAGCATGGCAAAGACGAAGTCCACCTGAGATGCCCACGAAAGGAGGGCACGACTCCGTGCCAAGGACAAATGACGGCCTTTCAGTTCTGGGCGCACATGCGCCACGCGACCAGGGAGTTCAGACAATCATTCGTGAAGTCCTACACTGACCGGTTCAAAGACCGGTTTCACACCAAGTGTGGTTTTGAAGTGGATGGCTATGACAGAGAGACCGAAAGTCCAATGGCGTCCCAAGCAGTTGAATCCACCATGGAGATTGTCAAGGCCACGCCAACCACACCCAGAACCACTTCCCAGGCAGTGGGAACCGCTACCGGAATCATACGAGCGACCCGCCACAACAGAGACGTCGACCAGGGGACTGAGCCAACAAGCACCAGACCCCAAGTCGATGAGAGGGGCCCCATGGCAAAGGAGCATCCAGCCGTCCCACAGGTAGTGGCAAGCACTAAAGCTGCTGTTGCTAGAAAGAGCACTGAGGTCAGCCTGGCCGAGGCACTCGAAGCAGCCAAGACGAGCGCCGACCTGATTCAGCAACTCATCTTCGAGACGCTGATTGAGGATTGGATGGATGCAAGAACCAAAGCACTCATCCACAAGATTGCCAAAGCAAACGAAGCCGTGCGCAAGGCCCGAGACCAAGCCCAGATGATCTCAAAGCAGATGGATGCAACCCAGGCCCGAGGCACCAAGCACCAAGCCCAAATTGGGCAGACCCATCCGAACCAGGCCCACATTGCGCAGGACCAAGGCAAGCCAGTCACGTACAAGGCCGCCTTGATGAAGAACATCGCTACCACAGAGCGAATCATCGGTCGTATGGACGAGACCCAGCAAATCCAAGAATGGAAGAGGGTCCTCACGACAGGTAGAATGCCTGGCACGTCCAAGACAATCCAGCCAAGAACCACCAACAACCCTGTGGTGGTCCCAGGAAACATCCCCAACGACGAGCTCAAGAACGAAAAGTTCAAGGAGACCGTGACCAACATGGAGTGGATGTACATTGAGGGGATACGATGTGGTGATCTGGGTCGCATCCGCCGCAACCTGAAAATGTGCGGACTCGACACAAGGGAGTTTGCTGAACTCAACTTCCCCGAGGCTTCGGTGATGGAGGTCCTCCTTCAAGACAAAACAAAGAAAAACCGGATTGCAGCCGAGTTTGAGGCGTTATCCTCAGAACACGGCAAGGTCAGGGTCATTCAAGCCTATGATGTGATCAACGGTTTCAAGCACCACGGACTCAGTCTCCCAAAGACCGAGGTAATCAAGACCTTCATCGTCAAGTCGGTCCGACAAGCGGCAAAGGCAAAGTCGACCCCTGTGCGTCGATGCATTCAAATGAGGGTGCCCGAACAATACCGGCAAGAGTACGACGAACTTCTCGTCAGAGCCATGTCGGGCAAGGAAATCAAGAAAGATGATGTCAAGGCGGTGCCCCAGGCCATGCCCCGGACAGTGTCCCAGGCAGTGTCTCAGACTCCTACAGAAGGGAGGCCCCCAAACCTGACCGCAGAACGACGAGGCGGTAACAGCTCGAACTTGCTCAGTGAACCAGTTGAAAGTGGCAGTCGGACCCTTGCCAATGGACGAGCTGGCCGGAAAGCAAGTGCAGCCGTCCAGGCACCGAGTGGCGCAGCACCGCGCATGGCCATGACCGGACGACACGCGTCATCCGGGCCAACCATGACGACTGATCGGGTCATGAGTACACAACAGACCGAGAGCCAAAGACCCAACCTCGAGCACGAGGTGATGGATATGGACTCGTCGAGCGATGGGGAGGGGCAGACGCCCAGCAGAAATGCACTCCCCATCCGATTATGAATCCAGCCCAGACAACAGGAGACGGCAGAGTTCAGACATCTCTGACCGTTGCATCCTTCAATGTCTGTGGCTTGGCCAACAACCATACTGCTGTGAAGGACCTCATAACGAACATGAAGATTGATTTTATCGGTCTTCAAGAAACTTTACTCAAAACAAAAGATCGAAATCCCCTCAGAGACTACACCATCACTAACCCAGGAACGCAGGGAGAAGCTGGGAGAGGAATGGCGTTCCTCTATAACCCAGCGACAGTCGACCCACGAGACATATCCAACGTGGAGGTCCGCAACGACGGAGCCACCATGTGGTTCAAGTACAAGGACAACATCCACATAGGGAACTTTTACTTAAGCCCCAGCATGAAGATCGAAGCATTCAGGGCCGCCATCAAGTCCATACAGCAGAAGGCGTCGGACCCCGACACCCAGGTGATCGTTGTCGGGGACTTCAACACCAGACTGGCTGCACTCCAGGGGAGACCGTCGGCCCCCAGGAACAAGGAGAAAGCACTCCTGGACACCCTGAGCCGAGCCCGGATGCGAGTCGTTGCCCCAGAAATCATCCCGACCCACACCCGGGAACGAGGCGAGAGTGCTTCAACCATCGATTACATCTTCGTTTCAAAGACCTTGGCCAGCAGCGACCCTCGGCTCCAAGTCGACGCTGCTGGAGCCTACCGAGGAAGGTCCGACCACAAGGCCATCTGGGCGACCCTGAGGATAGAGGTCACACACTATCCCAGGGTCGACCAATGGCGGTGGAAGATTGGCAGGCTCAAGGACCGCGAGGTCAAGGCCCAATACGTCCAGCTGTTTAATGACCGCCAAGTGGAGGGAACATTGACAATCACGACGGCCCTCAAACCAATCCTGGGAGAGCCTCAACATCAGATCTCGGAGCGCGGAGCACAGTTCGCCATGAACAAAGCCTGGGAAGCACTCACCACCATGGTGAACAACATTGCGGAACGAACCGTGGGAAAGTCGGAGATTCGACGCGTCACCCATGACATGTTACACAAGCCAGAGATCCGCCGATTGGCCAACATCCGACGCCAGCTGTGCCGACGACTGAAGAGGAAGGACATTGGAGACGAAGAAGCCAATGAGTGTAGAAGAGAGCTCAGTATGGCTCGGGCAAAAGAAGTGGCAGCACTCCGAACAGCAAGGAAGTCCCTCCATGACAAATTCCTCAGCAAGCTCCATAGACTCAACAGCTCAGAGTCAACAAAAGCCCTAGCCGCCGAGCAGAAACGCAGAGAGCTCGCGGATGCGTACCAGTTGGATAGTTCGGACGAGGCACTGGAACGACTAGTGGCCCACTACGGCTCGGTCTCGGCCCATAGCCGAGATACAGGAGAGCAGTACGACCGGACAACCAGACCGGCAGGGCCAGAGGGAACCCCCCGGCCTCTCACTGAGGACCAGTACCTTCCACAATTCGACATCCAGGACATCATCGCGGCCATCCGGGCGTCCCCCAAGATGAAGGCCTGTGGGTCAGACAGAATCAAAAGCGAGTTGCTGCACCCAGTGGCACCGGTGCTTGCCGAGTGGCTCCAGATCATCATGAAGGCGGCGGTCAAAGCTTCGGTTGTCCCCGTGTCGTGGAACGAAGTGTTGATCCACCCCGTGTACAAAAACAAAGGATCAATACTTGACCCGGCAATGTACAGGCCAATCGGATTGACACAAGTGCTCCGCAAGATAGCGGAGCGCATCCTCCTCCCGTACCTCACAAAGGAAATTGGGACGATGGACATTGTCCAGGGAGGATTCCGACCAGGACGAGGCACGCTCGACCAGGTCTACTCCCTGGACAGCCTGATTCGGATGAAGAGGCTCCAAGGCTTGGAGTACTCCTTGGTGTTCCTGGACATCAAGGCGGCGTACGACACCGTCTGGAGGGAACGCCTGTGGGAAAAAATCAAAGATAGAGGAGCAAGCTCGACCGCACTCGGGATCCTCAAGGCGCTGTTTGATAGGACAATGGTGAGAGTCGCCAGCAAGGGACGTCGGTCAGAACCTGTGTGGCTCCAAAAAGGGCTCATACAGGGATCTGTACTGAGTCCCTTGCTGTTCAGCGCTTTCATCGATGACTTACCAGAGCTCCTGAGACGGGGCACAACCAGCGCCGACGAAGACCTAGAGCTCTCAACCAGCACGGTGTCGACAATCAAGGTCAACTCGTTATGGTTCGCCGACGATGGAGTACTTGTCGCAAGTCCAGCTTCGACACAGAAGCTCCTGGATATATGCGAACGACACAGCACCGAAAACAGGTACAAGTTCGCACCAAGCAAATGCGAGATCATCCTCTCGACCAACTACCCCGCCGCGACAACCAAGGCCACTCTCTACGGAGAAGAGCTGCCGACGGCGAAAGAGTTCAAATACCTTGGAACGATCATCGACGCCAACGGGTTCCGAGTCGATCGACAAGTCGACCACCTGGTCGAGAAAGCCAACATGGCCGTGAAGAGCATCGTCAAGCTTGGAATCAGGCTCGGAGGAGCGTCTGCAAGGACCATCGTGAGAACTTACCGAGCCTTCATCAGGCCAAGGCTCGAATACGGCCTGGCACTGGACCTCCTACCCGAGGCACAGCAAGAACGAATCGACAAGGTCCAGACAAATGCACTGAGGGCAATGTTCAGAGTCGGCCCTGGGACATCGGCCGGAGCCATGCATCTGAGCTGTGGACTGCCAAAACTGTCCATGAGAATCAAGATCCTGACCTTCCAAACCTGGACGAGATGGGAAGACGCGTCCTCCGATCACACCAAGCTCATAGCACTGATCATGAGAAACACAATCAGACACCCCCACCACCCCAACCAATTCCTTGGCTACCAAGTGATGGAAGACCCGTATTGGGTCAAACTAATGCGCAGACTAGACTCGGACCAAAGCCTAACCGCAACCGAGGCCTTCCTGGGGAAGGAAGGAGCGCAACGGAAACCGACCAGCCCAGTCCCACGATCAACACCAGAACAGATCGAGATCGTCACGGGACTCATCATGGTCCCACTATCCACCTCGCAACGACGCAGACGGCTGCTCGGGAACGGGCTCTCCGGGATCACGAGTAGTGAGGAAGGATCCCACAACCGAACAAACCGACAGAATACCACCACGATGAATGAGGACGCTGTCACCACACCCATCAAGGAGCTCATGCTCACTGAGCATATGAGAACAGCGTTTCGAGGGAATCAACAGCTGACGGCGGCATGCACACCGTCAACCCAGATGTCAGGTCTCTGGATGGCGGAAGGGTACCAAGGATCCAAACCCATCCTCGAGCTCATGGTTCGGTGGAGACTCGGAGCCTTCCCGGGCCATCACACAGGCCGGCTTCAAATATGCCGACAATGTTCGACAAACGGAGCCACCGTGGAGTTCAACCGCACCCACGCACAGCGGTGCATCGACCCAAGAGGGATCCTCCCGAGGAAGGTGCGCCAACTTCAACGATCACACCCAGCATGGGTGGAGCCTCAGACCATCGGAGTGGGACCAGTCGACAAGCTGCTGGACCTGATCACCTTTGAGCAACAGAAGGCAAGACAGAAGAACCACGAGGACACTGACGGTGGAGCGGATTGCAGGCCACCACCAATCGTGTCCGACACCACGTCGGATGGGGAGACCAGCATTGACGAAGCAGTCTCGGATGACGACGGGGAGTCGCTCTGGTACCCACATCGAGAGGTGCTGGCACGACTGGAGCGACTCCGGCTGACCGACGACGACTCAACAGACCTGAGCTCCGAAATGAGCTCGGTGCCAGACTGGGAATTGAATCTGGAGAGAGATCTGGACTTTTCCTTCCTCACCAACATCGACGACGACCTGCCCAGCCACGGATGGGATTGGCAGAGCGACCAGAGTGTCGACTTGCTCTCGAACACAACACCAAGCATCGATCTGATCGACGATGCCGATCTGAGCCCGGACCTGGTCTCGGACGACGACCTCGGACTCGGAGACACACCGTTCCCAACGACCAGCAGGAGAGGCAGCCCTCCCCCCACACGGAGCAATGACAGAGTGACTGGAGTGCTGAGAGGCATGAGGCCACGACAGCGAACCCAACGAACAAAGCCGTGGATGGGCTTTGAGGAGATCCCGGAGAGGAGCTCCCATGGCCAGAGAGAAAGGGTCCCCGAGCGGGACCTGGAGACATGCGAGTCCCTGTGGGACCTCTTGGAGGAAGTGTTCACCCGCATGGCTCGCCGTGTGGGCTGGAGAGTCGGCGAGAGCCGCAACAGGGGCGTGTGAGCCTGCTTGTACGCCCACTGCCGGGTACCGCATGGTACTGATGGCTTGTTGAATATTCCTGAATATACAACTATTGTAAACAAAAAAAAAAAAAAAAGCAAACCACCAGCCTTACTCGTCTCTGAGAGCTTCCATTTCTGACCCCTGGTATTGCTGGCTGGCTCTGGCATTAGGTGTTGGCTTTGCCAACCAGGACATTTTACAATCATCATTGCAGCTCTCTATCCCTTGGGGACCTGTTTGTGGAGGGACGGCGATGTCAAGTTTTGCCGAACTCATCCATCCAGTGACAGTTTGGAATCTGCAGCTCCGACTTCCATGTCCAGACTTGTGCTGGCGTATGCCTGTGGCATTACTTCCTCAGGCTCCTACTGTCGTGCGTGGCGTATCCGAGGGATTGGCGTCTACGACAGACATTCAGTTGCGATGTCATCCAACACCGCCACAACATCCAGCCAGATCGCTGGTCTGTTGTTGAGGATTCGTTCGCGTTTGGCTCGCCATTTGCTCAGTTTTTCCTGGTCGATGGTGGCTGGTCTTGCGGGCACTCGAGCCAGCTTGGGGAGTGCGTCGATTGCAAGGTCGATGTAGGTGATGCCTTCGGGGATCGATGTGGGGTGAACATATTTCTCGAGTCGGTCCTTGGCTCGGGCACATTCTGCTGCATGTTTTCTGTTGACATACACCTTGGGGCCGTTGGGTACGGGCTTTCTGCACGCTCCGTCAGGTTTGGGAGGGAAGCCTCCGACCCGCCAGAGAAACATTCTTCGGGCTTGAGCGACTGATATCGCTGGTATCCTTGCGGTCAGTCCCGCAGCGTGCGTGGGAGCGTGGGATGCATGGAATCCTGGGTCATTATGAGGTTGGGCCCACTGATGAAACATTCGATGATCGAAAAGGGGTGCGCCGTTTCATAGAGTGAGCCGGTGTAATCGGAAGTCACAGGGTTTCGTGGTGTAGTTGGTTATCACGTGAGTCTAACACACTCAAGGTCTCTGGTTCGATCCCGGACGAAACCATTCTCTCGCTCCGCTAGCTCAGTTGGTTAGAGCGTGGTGCTAATAACGCCAAGGTCACAGGTTCGATCCCTGTGCGGAGCATTTTTTGCTTCCCTTCTCGGTTTACACCCCACTTTTGGTTCTCTCTCATCCCCTCTTTACCCTCATCGCTGTCTTGATGCTCTCCAATACCGTTGCAATATCCAGCTGCATGTGCTTTGCATCCGTGGATGAGGTCATCGTGCACTTTTGCTTTGTCATTTTCCGTGAACACCTACTGGTGAGCTTTGGCGAATGCCGTCGAGAATAGGGAAGCGAAGGATGCAGGTGGTCGTCATGGGCCATTCTAGTTCTGGAGTCTGGGCGAAAGCATTTGATGATCAGTCGAGTCATGGGTTGTCGATCTGGGAAGGCGATACAAGATGTATTGTCGTTTTCCAACATTCCAGTATGATGCTCAGTCCCGTGTCTGGTCCATGTTCCCTCTGTTGTGGAGGTCTCCTTGAGAATTGGCGATGGGACTCATCTCCATAAACGGTCATTTGTGTAGCGCTGAAAGAGGCGGTGCTGTTGGTCTGCCATCAGTTGTATGGCTTGGTGGTGAAGCTTCGAGGCACATCCCGTTGGAGCTGGGATGGCTTGCGCACTTTCTCAGTCCCTCTCATGCTCTCAGCCACTCCGGGGTGCTCGGCGTCTGACTTGGGATGGAAACCGAACTCCTATTGGTGCAATGCGAACAATTTTGTTACCGATAATCGTTTTCGCTATGCTTTCTTGATGATGCTTACGAGTCGCAGATGTGAACGATGATCGCATCACAATGTTACATCGTGAAGAGTACAATCCGCGGAAGAAGCATCATAGCGGCAAAGAAAATAATTTGATTCAACAAGTGATCCGCATTGGTCCAGTGGCTAGGATTTCTCGCTCTCACCGAGACGGCCGGGGTTCGATTCCCCGATGCGGAATATCGGTTCCATAGTGTAGCGGTTAGCACTCAGGATTCTGACTCCTGCAACCCGAGTTCAAATCTCGGTGGGACCTCTATTTTCGTTTTGCCCGTTTCCAATGGCTGTCAAACCGAACTTCCATCGTGCAAATATCCGGCCCCGTGCTGCCTTTTCCACCAATACGTAATCCATTCTTCGTTCGCAAGACATTTGCCGTCTGCGTGGTGCTCTCCGTTCTCTTCGTTTTGTGGATCCATGATTCGCTTGATGCTCTTATACTATCGCTCCCTTCATTCCAGTGATTGGAATCAACTCCAGACTTTGACAACGGCGTCGGCTTTGATCCATTGGTATCCAATGAATAGGGGGGTTTGATTCTCCTGCTGATGCTCTGGACAGATCGGCGGCAGTTGCTGTTTCATTCACGAACCAGGCACCGCATCGATCGAGTCGCAGGGTGTTTCTTGGGGTCTACCAAGTGACAACCATTTTGACTCTTTCGTTCTTCTCGGCTTCATCATTTCGCCCCTCACTGTTCCTCCAAGAAGCTTCTCGTTGTCCGTGAGCTCCTCAAGTCTGCTCCTGACACAACGAGGATATCGTACTGTTTCTGTTGATGAAATCAGTAGCCAGTCTCTCAGTCCAGCCATCGTATGGTAAGAGTTCAGGCCATCGGCACACCACGCACTGACGCCAATACTAAAACTACACAGCACACTGCCCATATCAAAGAGCCATCAAATCAAGGGGCAGCGAAGCTCCGGGTGGTCGATAGGTGATGTTTCATTATCATGTTGGATCGGTGAGATACTTGCGACTCTCTGAGCTCTGATGGCGCATCCATCATCATGGGCCTGCGTGGCCTCTGTTCTCACAAGCCAGGAACAGCTCCACGGGCCAGTAAGTGCTCACCCTTCAACAAATGTTTTGTCCTTCGCTCTGTTCGCCATCACACTTCTGGATGCTATCGCCTGCATCTCGATATCGATATTGCAGACTCAAGAGCCTTGATCCTTGCATCCCTCTGTAGGCCGCTCGTCCAGACTGTGTTTGAGCCGGTGTGGCCGTGGTCTCGAAGAACAGTCTCTATGAATACTCTCAATGAATACTCTCGATGAATAGTCTCGACTCGTAGACTGCCGTGATCAGTGAGCTGCCATGGTGGCTCGGCTCTGGCTATCATCGGATGCATCCGGACCATGGCCATATATTGCCCTTCCAGCCAAGAGTCAGCGAACCTGATTGCTAAGCAGTCTCAATGCTGTCGCCAGTGCCACCAGATCGGCACACGCTCGCCCGGGCAGTCGACAGGATGGGCCGGCCGCCGACACCTCCCATCGTGAGTGTTGGAGTTTGGCTTTGAGCCGACACGGAGCTTCGGCCCGACACACCCCCTGACGATTCGATCAGATTGGTGACGTAGCTGTCGATGGCACAGAAGAGGTACATGTCCACGGCCCAGATGAAAATGCAGATCACCGTCCCAATGAGGCCCGTGGGATCGTGCTCTGAGTAGACAATGCAGACGATGGCAACCACGATTTCAGCCGCAATCGCAGCAACCAGCGTCAAGCCTTCGCGCTCCAGAGCTTTGATTTTCTCTGCGGACATGTTGGTGGCACCCGAGGGCTGTCCCTTGCTGGTTGTCTGTCTTCCAATCGTGCGGATGGAGAATCTGAGAGAGTAGAGTCGATAAATCATCAAGAGGTGCAGGCACACCAGATTGGCCTCCAGAGCCAGACCGAAGCCGACGCTGTTGGTCCAGAGCTGGGCGAGCGATATGACACCAAAGGTACTCAGGATGAAGCACACATCGTTGGCAATGTAGGCGATCGGCATGATGCCAAGCAGGAAGAGCCAGTTGCTTGTCGGTTCGTTGGTGGTGTTCATGGCCCTCAGGCGCAAGAGGAAAGCCCATCCTGTGGCAGCGGAGCCGACGCCATCGCCAAGTGCATAGAGGAAGTTGACGAGTTGATAGCACACAGGGTTGGAGTAGCAGGGGTCGTAGAGCATCAAGAGATAGCCTGTGCAGCACAGGGCGACGCAGATTATCGCCAGAGCCATCATGGTGTGGATCTGTGGGCCCCGTCGCACGTTGATGGCCCCCTTCCAATTGACCGACTTGAGTGTGCGAGTGGAGAAACAGATAGTCACGATGCAGACAAAGAAGGTAAAGATCTGAGCGTCTTGAAGGGTCTGGGAATCCATAGCTGGCCGGTTGGTGTCTTGAAACCACTGAGCAAGTTCGAGGCACAGATTGCTCCAGATGCGAGACTCAGTGCAGGATAGGATGGAAATCGCAGTGCGACTGAAGCAAGATATCGTGCGAACGGCATCGGCAGATGGGTAGAATGACCGATGTTGTGTACGAGTTCCCTCGTTCCGGAGCGAGTCTGCGGATGCACATCCACAGTCCACAAGACCTGAGCAACAACATATGAAATCACGGCGCACCGTCAGACAACAGTTGTCCAATCATTTCGTTGTGGGATCACTCTGCGGACTGTCCATCGAATTGCGGTTCGCCGTCCACTACTCGGCGTGATGCTTCCGTTTCCGATTCAGTTTGGAGCCAGGATATTCGATCTCTGCACCAATTCGAATGCATCGGACCCACGGCTGCAAAGATGCTCAGCCCTCGCAGCGAGTGCAGAAAGTGAAGCGGCGGATCGATCGGATTATATTCAGAATCGATGCTGCGAAGGTCCACCACAGGCCAGCCGATTGGTACGCTTCCATCAGCGAGACAGCGGCAAGCCTGACATCACAAGAGCGGCTTCTTGAATCCGACATGATGCTTACACCAATGTCTCATTTGTTTTTAAGCTCACGAGTGTGCACTATCTCGACAATATAGGCCATTCTGGAGTCTGTGATTTTGAAGAGTTCGTCGGGGTGCTCTGCCTGGGAAGTGTTGGCGGTGTCCTCGCCTTGGGATCTGCTGCTCAGAAGCCCATCTGCCGAGACAGTCACATACGGAATCTCAAAGATATGGGTAGCCGCCTTTGACTGGTCGACGGAAACCTGGTCACGCCGAGCGATCGACATGATCGATGATTTAGTGAGCATGTATTCCCTGGTTGTGGATAGTGGCGCCAAAGATGACACTTACCACTTTGCTTGGGGAGAAGATGAATATGCGTTTGTCCACCACATGGAGGTCAAATATGCCAACATCGCTCTTGCCACTCTCAAGGTCTCGGCTGTGTCGCGACAGTCTCACTGTCGAGAAGAGCGTTGTTGGAATTGCCGAGTCGGTTCGCGATTTGACCGCCGATCCTATTTCCATGTTGGTCACCCTGCTGCTCTGCGTAGCGGTTGAAGCGCCTTTGCTCATATTCTTTCGAATCTCGGCGATCGCGCCTGTTGAATCGTGACCGAACGTGACAGTCATGTAGACGGGAACCACCAAGGGAACGAGCGCTATGCCAAGCAGAAAGTGGAAGGCCAAGCGCATCCCCGCTGACACAAAGACATTCGTGAACACCGCAAAGAGCAGGTAGATCATCGTGACGAGGCTGGAGGAATCGACGGAGCATATGGTTAGTCCCGAGCCAAGCCAGATTCTGTGCCGGTCGTGCAGTGGCATAGTGGTCCAGCGACGATCTTCTGTCTCTGCCAACGGCCTACCTCGAGCTTGCCATGATCCACTTGACCTCATAGCTGTCAGCAGGATGTGATGTGAGTCTGTGGTCAATCTACTGTCCCAGACTGGTACATTCAATGCAGTTCAATACCAATTGTCATATCTTGTGCATCGTCTTCCTTCAGAAATCGATATGTCCGTCGTTCCCACTCAACCGAGTGATACACTGCCATACTCAGTGCCTACCTGTAGCAGATCGAGTTTCGCAGCTCGACGGCATACACTGCCGAAACCAGAAATACTCCAGAGTTGAATCCTATCTGAAGACCGCTGACGATGCTGTTGATGCTGGGGTCGGCTGCCATACACAATGCATAGACGCTGAGCCCATCTGCGCTTGTTGCCACATTGACTGGTGACAGGACTGAGAGTATATCAAGGAGCAGGGTGATGATCTTGGTTGGGCATGAGAGGCACAGTTCGTCGAGTCAGTGTGGATTCGATCAAAGTTGTTGCGGCTCATCCGCATCATCGACAACGGCACTCACAGTGTTGATCGCCAAGATGGCTGCTACAATCGTGAGCAGGAGATTGTTCGGCAGAACCGACTGCGATATCTTGGTGCTTCTGCGTATCATCAAGAAACCTGCACCCGCGAATCAGACGGGTGCGTGAGCGGTCATTGTGTGGTATCAGAAAGACAAACGACGTCGCTGCGACTCTTGACAACACTGTGTTATCATGCAAAACAGGTGCACTGGGAAGCGCAGTCACTTACGAAGCATCTTGGATGCAATGCAGCTATGGGAGTGGAGCCCAGCGCTGTTAGCGGCGGCTTGGTTTGGCCAACAGCTTCGTTCACGACCGAGTGGCCCGACTGCACATGCACGGCACTCCAGATACACACCCTCCAATGAGCGAAACCTTGATGTTCTCCATGCCGTACTTGAACAGCCGACACAAGGCCTGAGAGGGAACTCCGAGCTCCGAGACAACCGATAGCATGCACAAGATAATGGCAAGGTGCACTGAGGGAGCGCATATCCGTGGCGGGGAATTGTGCGATAGCGGTGTATGTGAGAGGCGATGATAGTCCGTGGTGCGCAGCGATAGTTTCCAACACGAGTCACGGCGTCGAGGCCACGAGTTACAACGGGTCGTGGATGTACGATAATGTGCGACAGGTTGATTTAATGGGAATCATCAAACAGGGCAGCACGCTCACCTGATATCACATAGAGTGAGTTGAAGAGTCGCAGTTTTTGGTGTTTGCGTGCTGCCAGGATTGTGAGGTAGAGCGCCGAAACGGTAGCCAAGGCGATGAGGGCCAAGCTGGCCCCAAACACCCCCCTGGAACTCAGCAGTGTCGGGTTCATGAAGACCAGCGGAGGGAAGTCCACCGGAATGTTCAGGAGCGGCGAAGTCACGTTCCAGACGGCCGTTCCAAAGCTGGTCGTGTTTTCAAACAACACAGAGCTTTTGGAAGCATTGGTTGCATCGATGTAAATTTCGGCTTCGAGCCACCCCGTTAAGCTGTTGTTCATCTGGGGTCATTTGAAAATGTTACTCGAATACTGCTGACCGGAGGTTGTCGCTGTGAGGTTTATGATCCCACAGAACTTACCACAGAATAAATATCATATACACTGTTGAAGAACCATCAAAACAGTGAGTTCCAGACATCGAGGAAGTTGCAACCACTTGAACACCACCATGCTTACCCGTAGAGTCGATTTCCTTGCGCTTCATGGGTGGATTTGTTTGAGGCCAAATGTATCAGTGCTGCACAAAGCAATCAGTGTGGTGGAGTGCATCTGGCTGGGCGAACTGCGGTGAACCTACAATCATATTCGAGAGGGCCAGTTGCGCCATTATACGTGTAGTTCAAAAAGAAGGATGGCTCGAGGAACGAAGTGTCGACAGCGTTTGAGAGGATGGTGTCGAGACTTATGCCCGATTTCAACAGCTGAGAGACAGGTTGCTCATCTGTTAGCGAGCAAGGCGCGTACCCTGGGTATTCACCAAGCAAAATGCATTTTCCACTGCCAAGTTGGTTCACATTGCTATGCAGGGGTTTGGATGCTCGCATCATATGGTCGGTGCATAGGAGCCTGCACGCAGCAACGACTTATGGCTGCACAACAGTGCGTACGTGATCGAATCCGAGCACAAGGGACAATGCACAGTCGTATGTTTCTCTGTTTGCAATTTTGTGTTTGCTTGTTAGATCAAGTATCGCGCTGGTGTTTCTTGCGCTCCTCGGGTCAATGCATCGCCATCAATAACTTACACTCCCACTGGGAGCATCAGCGGTTCGGATGCGTAGACATAAGTCATTGTGTCGTTGTAGTCAATCCATTGAGGTGTTGCTGGATAGTTAGAGGATGGACCGTATCTGGTTTGAACAAGCGTTTGCGGTTGTTATTAACCAGTGTCCCCTGTAGCAGAGAGGAGGTATCAAGATGGCTAGAGATCGCCAGTAATGACTTACACCATGTATGTTCTACCGAATGGGTTGGGATCACAGGAGCAGCGCCGTGCAATAGAGGTTCCCATTGAGTGTGAACAAGCTAGTCCAAGACGCCAGCTTCGCAGACGAGTATCCAGCAAGCACTCGCGTCTATACAACTTACTCGCCCTCGCCACTGTATGTATGCAATGTGTAGCCAAGATTCAGTACATTAGCGACACGGCAATCCAATCCATCGGGTCGCGGTCTGTCGGTGATGCACTTCATCGACCCATATGAGTTGCTGCAGCACACGGACCGCCATACAACATACTAGTTTCGTATGTATGATCCATTGATCGGTCCATCTTGGAAAGGCACAAGCTGATTTTCAAACACATTTTGATATCCATATTCCTCTAAGACTTGAACCACATCATATCCCATAACGCCTTGCATCGTAATCCAGACGTACTCAGGACCCGTGATCTGAAATAGCCTATAGATTGACGATATGTTCGATGAGATCGGGGATCACAAGGCGAGTCATATGTTTGCTCTCAATGTTTGGCTTTAACCATTGTCAGGATCAAGAAAACAAGCAAGCGCTCGATTTCCAGAGACAAATGCACGCATTGATGACTGTCAGCACCAAAGACTCGGGCCGAGTGCGCCAGCTGTGGTGCTATAGCATCACCCCACCTACTTTTTAGCCTGGGGGCCACGCATCCATGTGCCGTTTCCAGCGGCGGTGGAGGAAGCGCGAGAGTGAAGGATTGGGCCATGAGCAATCGCCTCGCATCGCAGTAGCAGAGATGAACCATCGGATCCATGCAGACCGAATTACATCCCTCATTTCCCTCAGAGACCGAGTGCATTCGGTCGAGAGCACTGAGCCTCCTCCATATCAGAAATCATACAATACTTACCCAGAGATATGCCAGCGATGACTGAAACACGGCGGAAAAGCACAGTATAATCCGTGCGTTTGTGGCAGAAATAGCTGCCAGGGGAGTCACCCAATCGGATCCGAGGGGAAACTTTCCCGAGGCGAATTCGACCACGCCGCCGAGTATCTCGATTCCCAATGCACTGGCTTCGTCTAGAAATCCTGGAAGGGCATTATAGCCAAACTGATCATGAGTTCGATCCTGAAGGCAACGCACACATTATGGCGTGTCAATGACCGATGAAGTGGCGATGCGAATACGGCATCAAGTATTGCGATAGATTGCGAGAGTATTAAAACAAGAGATTGCAACGGGATCTTACCGAGACCAGGACAGCAACGCGCTTCCATCCCATGGCATGAACCCAGATAGCAAACGCTATTTTGAAAGTATCGACGTTAGTATGCCTTGTGGGGATCTTTTGCAGCGTGATCGACTGTCGAACAACACATGAAGCAGATATGTTCCGTTGCACTGATACCTCGCCCTTGCATTGTCGATGCCGTCAGAGTCCGGAAAAACGTCGGGTACATGGTGCGATCGGAAAGCTAGCTCAAACATGACCTTGTTAGCTCCACAATGTTCCAGAAATGTCTATCGTTTATGACCAGTTCTCACCCGCGGGTCATTGGAGGTCGGTGAGCAGATCTAGTCAGGCAAACAGCAGGGTAAGAATGTGGGATGCGGAGTGGATAAACCTGTTAATATCTATTGGTACAGGATCGCCGACCATGATGTGGTACTACCATGTCACGGAGATGTGGCCGCGAAGCCCAGTAACCATCAAAACCACTGATCCAAGCAACAGATCATACCGGAACATGTTGGGTTGCGGCCCAGAGTGACTCCATGAGAATTGCATCTGCTGCCAGGACTGCATCGCCAATGAGGCCATTGTTCCCATCACGGACGGCTTCGATTGCCGCCGACAACTAAGCAAACAGAGTCGGTCAGTTCCTTCTTGTTCACAATCGCCACATTCTGTTCGTATGCGCAATCGGCCAGATCTCGCTCGTACTTACACCGACTGCAGATGAACCCATGCGGAAGCTGTTATATCCAGTAATGTTGAGATACTGCGATGGCATTGTAGACCGAGCAAGAGATGTCAGCGGAGGACAGTGTGTTTACTTGCGCATCCCGACTCAGTCGTGAGTCTGTCGCTGTTGCTCCGGCACCACAGGCAACTGGATCATGGCTGTCCACGAAATGACAACTCCCAGGGACATCGACTTACAATATTCGGAAGAATATCGTTCCTATATCCAGAAGATATGGCTGTTTGTCAGCTAGAGCCATGTTCTAGATAGCAATCGGGACCAAACTACAGGGTGATGCACCTACCGGCGGTTAATGTTGATCTGGAGAGCTTCGAGCCCGCTGATCCTGGAATCAAAGCAAACGCGATCGCACGCGCTGTTAAACCAGCTGATTCGCACCGACGAGGCACTTCAACCTCTGCAGTGGCCCTGCTGGGACAATGGCTAGAGGACGGTTCCGTTACATTTCCATCGCTTCGACGCTTGTGTAATAGTAATAAAAAGGGTTTGTTGCATAAACAGCGGGGTTGTTGAAGGCTGCGATTGTACCACTCCAGTATAGCAACCCAATATTGAGAGTTCTGGTGAACGAGGCATTCTTGTTGGGATGGACGGCAATATCGATGGCGTCCAGACGCGGCAGATGGGCCAACAGGAGGAGCAAGAGCGCGAGCCCTGCTGAGAACGGCTGAGTAGCCATGATGCCGCGATGGGAGAAGATGGCCGCGGAAGGCAAGTCGGGGCGTCGGGGGAACGGACGTTTTCTTTCCGTCCGCACGGACAAACCCGATCCAGTCTGGTCCCGAACGTGGGCTCTACAAAGTGATCCATGATTCAATATGTGACTCAAATCGGGGGTGCTTCCAAATGAATATCCACAACGAGACGCTGAACCGTTTCAATCGACAGCCTGCGGGCCGCCTTCGACTCCACAGCATCCTGCACACGATGATCAAGTTGAGCGTCACATTAATATTGGGATTCATATGATCATTTGGTTGTTGATCACAAACGGGCGACCGGTCTACCCGTGCAGTTACCGAAGTGATTGCTAGCCGAGACTGGGCTTATGAGGCGAGACTGACCTTATGAGGCGAGTGCTGGCGTTTCCTTAATCTCACCACCTTACACTCACATACCAGGCTCAGCATTTTCTTCTCAACCGAGTTGATTTGGCCTCGTTCTCGTCCTGAAAGGAACGCTTTATTCTCCGATTGGTCAAACATCCTCATTGACGTCATCTCCTGCGTCAGTGCTGAATCGGTCACCTCACTGACCACTTTCTCAACCTAATTTGCCAATCATCTCGGAGAGCTTGACTGCGTCCACGTCTCGATAAAGGTGTTGCCGAGACCCTTTCTTCTCACCCCCGGCACCTCTTCTTTCCATCTTCTCCTCCACCCTCCGAGACCCCATCCAACTTATACAGCGCTCGAATATGGGCCTCTCTTTGATCTTGCTGCTGATATTGGCGGCGTTGGCGCCCCGTTCTCAATGCAGTGTGACGCAGTGGAAAATTGGAATCGTGATCTCTGACAATATCAGTGAGTACACAGTCCTCGATAGCCCATCATGAGAAGAAACCAACAATCGTACGTGGAATCGAGCGCCAACTCTCCTCCTTGCTATGCAATTCCATATATAGTTCCGGGTATGGGCCGATCTGCCATCAACATCACGGAAATGGCCATTCAAGATGTCAATAGCCAAGGTATCCTTCCAGGAATCACGCTTTCAGCTGTCCAATTCAACAGCTTGACAAACCAGGTAAGCCAAGGCCCAAAGTAGGCCTATTTCCATTGATTTACTGCTTCATCCAACCGACCACAATTGCTGCGCGAGTGCCGATATCCTGGATGTGGTACTTCAGCCATCGATGTAAATAGCACGGACCAGTTGATACATTATGTTGAATGTTTTTCTTGGGACACTGTAACAGTATCTGGCTGTTCAGAACGGCATCAACCTCGCCAACACATCCGGGGTGGTTGCAGTCATCGGTACGTCCGCAGTGCTGCTGTGAGCTCCATGAGCTCCACTAAAACGTTGCTCTAACCCAGAGTCTGATTTTCAGGGGAATTGTTTTCTTCGGTAACGGCACCTTTGGCCCTGACAACAAAGGCCTACAACGTAAGTGTGCGGGTCAGGATAAATCGGTTACGCTTCGCAAAGGAATCTAAACTGATTAGCTGTGCTCCATGCGAAACTCACTGAGCACATCCCGAAATCAATACCACAGCTGCCTCAATGCTCTGGTTCGGCCACGTAAGCGGATAGAGCAAGAGTCGCTGGGTAGCATGTGTACCTCTGAAAGGTTCATTAACCAGGATTCGTCGAACAGATCGCCTGTCTTGAGCGACAAGAGCACGTACACAACGTTCCTCAGGTTAGACATAACTGCATATAATTGCCACAGGATTCAGGGCTCTCCGTTTCGTGGACGAATACGTCATCGCGAAATGTCAGAGAATACATACCCAGAATCTTTAGCTTACACTGGACTTGCCGCCGCTGTCTCAGAACACTTCCACCAGATAATTTTCAAGGACCAGCAATCGCAAATTTTGTGTATGCAAACAATTGGAGAAACGTGATCGTGATCTACTCGGTAAGTCATTCGCAGACATTGATCTCTCTTGTTCATAGCCGATTGCATTTACTGGCCCATATACAGCGTATAAAGGGCCGGTCAACAACTAACCATCATTTTACCTTTTGCTTCTTTGAATTTCCAAGAGCGACACATATGGAACAAGTTTGATGCAGGCATTTCAAGCCCAAGCGCAGACACTTGGGGTATGCCATGCACATCTACATCCTGGATTTAAATGCTCTGATCGACCTGGTTGTTGATGATTCACTAGCGCAGATCTGTTAAGAATCCAATCTTCTACCATCGATTAGATCAATATCCAGCTCTCCCAGCCATACAATTCTCCGTAAGTCAGTTTGAATCGAGCAGAGATATATGCGGGCTATACTCGATATTCAGTACCGTTGCATCAAGCTTGCGGTGTAGGGATGGCGTCTCGAGACTCAATCTGCGGAGCTAATCCTGCTGTTGATTGTGGCCACTGATCACAGCGCGTCAGCTCCAGCTGTTTTTTCGGATACTGCAAACCGAATCCAGAGCAGCGGCTGTCGAATCATAATTTTTCTCGGATACGACACCGACACACTGCTTTACTTGCAACTTGCGAGGTGAGTGTCATGTCATACCCGCAGCGCCGAGCAAATCAAATTGATATTCATCGTGTTCGAGCTCATTTTTTTGCGAAAATGATTGAAATGACTCATCTATTCACGATCCAAATGCCTACCATGATATAATTTGCCGCAAAATCGACAGCTCCATGGGAATGGTTGGACCAAGTTACGTCTACATTGGCTCTGATGGAATGTCAACAATCGTCTCGGACGCTCAGCCGTCTGATCTCGCCAATCTCCCTGGATTTATCTATCTCGGTGCCCTTGAGAACGGTGGAAATTCAATCACGCAGAGTGTCATTAGCAGGTGTGCAGACCGATGCCCTGTGAGCGCAAATGATCGGGAGTCGCTTGCACCGTGTCTCAAATCTTTGCGCACCCCATGACTAACAAGATATGTGTCGATTCATAAGGTTCCAAGCGGCATATGGACAAACCCCTGGAGCAGATTCGCTCTTCTTTTATGACTGGTACGCAGGATATCACATTTCTGCCACACCTTCCATTTGTTGCAGTGTCACTGATAAGATTCAACTCTTCCATCTCGGAACCCGATGCGTCTGAATTACTCAACACCATCGATGAGCAGCGTGTTCGCAATAGCCCATGGACTACAGCAGGTAGAAACTATCACAGTGCATACCAGTTTACATATGTTTCTGTGCTCGTGTCAACCGATGACGCGGCGACTTTCCAAAGTTGTTTGGCTGACTTGAGTCTCATCCCTCAAATCAAATGGGATTGAGCGAACCAACTGATTCGATGGCTTTCCTTTAGCTCATCAGTAGGAATGTCAATACTGTCCAGGATATTTACAACAGGAGGGCCAATCTTAGTTTCGCCAATATTCTGACAACCTTCACTGGCGCAACTGGTCAAGTGGCTTTCAGCTCAAATGGCGACAGGCTGGCTCCCTATGCCGTTACAAACTTACAAAGTGCTCCGGGCGGTGGTATCAGCGCTGTCCAAACCAGCATCATCCAAACTGATGGAACTGTCACGGTGCTTTCCCCGACCCTGTTCTTCTCGGGATCATCGACTCCTCCACAAGACAGCATTGGTCGGTTGAGCACCACCTTGCGGCTCAGTACAAGCTACTTTCGATGCTGCTGTTGCGTCGGATATTAACTCGTGCTCTTAACTCGGATGCTCTCCAGCTATTCCACAGATGGTCATGTCCTACTCAAGCACGAGCCCGATGGTCCTCGTTATTGTTTATTCGATTGGTATGCGCCTATACATTTTACACCGTGGCGCTCGTGGAGTTTGGGCTGCGCTAAAACGAATCTGTCTTCGGATCAGGGCTCTGCTTGTGCATCGCATCAGCAGCGATCCTCTGGGTCAACAGAGCTGCTCCAATTGTGCAGAAAATGTCTCTACCATTTTTGCTTCTCATCAACGTATGTCACACAGTCAATGCGAGTGAGACTACTTGTTCATGGTCTCTATATCGTGCACTACGTTGCTTCATTGGATCTGGGCTAATTCAAGGTCACTGCCGATGTCTAGATCGGGCTCATGCTCTCGTGGATGTCTGTCTATGCGTACTCCGGAAACACAACGGCCGCAACTTGCCGATTCCAATCATGGGTCATGTGGATAGCATTTTCAATGGTTTGCATCACAGCAGCTTCACATACCCGTCTTGACCCCCGCCCAGTGGCGACTAGCTAGACCAAGCACTCCGGCAGTGTTTGCGAATACGAGCCGCTCGAATTGCATTTGACGAAGCAGGGCGGATAATGCTGGCTATTTCCCAATCACTCCCTGCAGTCCAAAAGGACAGAGCATCGACGGTATCTGATGGTTCTCGATCACTGATGCCCCTCGTTATCCAGGTCTTTGCTAATCTGTTTGTTAAAGTCTACCGCATTCACAAGATCTTTGGTAAATCGTCGGATCTGGTCGTCCTATTGACTGTTGTGAGAGCGAGAATGTACTATTCGGCTTATGCAGTCATCTCCAAGAATTCGAATGCTAAAGGCGCGATTCGCTGTCCTCTGCCCGATCCAACTTTGATCAGGAAACACCAAGATGCAAAAGCTCAACTTGAGCAACTGGATCCTTATGAGCGGCAGCTTTGGTTTGATCTTGGTCAATGTCATCATCATCATCGCTTGGAACGTGGTCGATCCCCTGAGCCCCGTCCGCGTGACAACCAGATCGTACTGGTACTTGGACTGCCAATCGGCAAGTTCGGTCAACCAGTCCGGGTTCTCGAATGCCTTGTTGGTATACAATGGGTGCGTTCTAGTGTTTGAAACACTTTGCCTGAGGCAAAGATATCACCCCAGTTCCTGGGGGAGCGCTCTTTCCAAACCGCTTCGACGTCATTTAACCCTGTTCGCGGTCATGATGGCAGCATTCTGCTGCTGGGAGTTACCTACTTGGCCTACAAGACACGCAACGTCGCTGCCCAGTTCCGCGAGAGCAACTGGATCGCATATTGCGGGCTGTTTATTATACTCTGTGGCTCGGTTGTCATCATTCTCCTGATGTCTAGCAACGATTATGTTGGAACGGTTGGTATTGCCTGCCCTGCCCTGCCCTGCCCTGCCCTGCCCTGCCCTGCCCTGCCCTGCCCTGCCCTGCCCTGCCCTGCCCTGCCCTGCCCTGCCCTGCCCTGCCCTGCCCTGCCCTGCCCTGCCCTGCCCTGCCCTGCCCTGCCCTGCCCTGCCCTGCCCTGCCCTGCCCTGCCCTGCCCTGCCCTGCCCTGCCCTGCCCTGCCCTGCCCTGCCCTGCCCTGCCCTGCTGGTGGCTGCACACATATAAACGGATCGCCGAAGCTCCGTAATGGGTATGCTTCGTCTGAAGACCCCCCGGGACCAACTTGGTGATACTGACAGGTGCCTATATTCAGTACTCGGTCCGTATGTGGGTTATAGCGCTGGGCAACTTTGTTACCTACTGTAAGTGAAGCCGGGCTTGATTCCATGCAACCACATCGCGTTCAGATGAGCTCGAAAGGCGCTCTGGTCTGAGTATTGTTCAAAGACTCGTCACAAACAAAAACTGATTCGTCAACTTCAGACTGTCTGATCGGAAGAGTGATCGTGACGATCCTATCGGATCTAGTCGAAGTGGGTTCCAAAACTAGTAAGCACACAAGTTCGGCGACTGCCTCGGCCACAGCAACCAGTCAAACACGGGGACATACCAAAGCCGTACAGAAAAGCGCGGATCACAAGAGGACATTTGCGATCAAAATCAAAGCCGCCGCTCTGTTTGCCAAGTGGGAGAGTGCAAGAATCAAGGTTTTCGACAACGAGTCCATCATTTGCATCTACCACAAGAAGAAAACTAGCGACGAGTCGCACGTGAAGGTAAGTTGAGAGCTATGAGCCGATGCACTCTTAGTGGGCGATAACATGGCGTAGGCTGTAATAAACCACCGGCTGATTGCATTGTGCTTCCCTCTCCATTCAGTCGGGCATTTGCTGCTACTTCCACGATTGCTTGGTTTCAAGCCCACGCGGCAACAAAATGTTCAAGCTGACAGTGGGAAGTGAGACGTTTTCCATCACGATGGCTTCTGAAAACGAGATGGACGAGTTTATTCTGGCTGTCACGGATGATGGCAATCAAAGCGGCTTCTCAACCGCAAGCCCCACCAAAGCCAGCCACGCCGTGCTTCACCACTAAGCGTGTATCCGCAAGCGGAGGCCCCCGAGGAGGTTGACGACACACGAGTTGAGCTGACGACACGTTGGAAACTATTCGGAAGATTCACTCGGCCGATTCACGTTATTTCCATTTCCATTTTATTCACTCCTTAGCGACTTGATGTGCTGATTTAGAGGTTACTTGATTTCTCCTTAATCCAACCTTTTGGACTTTAATCTGCTCGCAACTTTTGCATAATGGATCGGGAGGCCCTTGGTTTTAGAGACTCGGCACACATTATTATCCTTCAACAATACACATTGTTTTTGAATTGTCTCGGATCCGTGACAAGATCCTCCCATTTGTCCCCCCACGAACGATGATCAGCTCGTACATCACGAACGAGTCACCAACGACATTGACTGGTGATAGATGAACTGTATCCATCGCGCCACAGCGACTCGATCGCCCAACGAGATGATGTCCCAATGCCATTCCATCCGTGAGGATTGCTCACTCATGACAACACTCTTGGCTCCGCCATAAGTTCTGGGCGGCACCGTTGGCGCTTGGAAAAGTTGTATTCCGCTCCAGAAAGAGCGACTGACAAAGCAACAACGGGGTGTGTACCATTTCATTCTGGTGGCCACAATGAATACGCTAAAGGAAATGCACGTAAACGATTCGTCGGCAAGTGTGCGTCCGGATCACATAAATCACAGCAACAAGTCATGCGGGATCGAGCAGAGGGGTTCTATATAGAGGGATGGCGTCGCTGCACCGGCTTACACAAATCCCTTTTGCTGCAAAAACTGTCGCTGAGCGTCGGTCAGGCTTTGCCAGAGAGCGCCCTTGGTGGCATCGTCGCACTGGGTAAGGATAACACGGATCGAGTTGGACATGCGGGGCTCGAGCTCAGCCGAGAGGATTCCGGCCATCAGGACCTGGGCGAACATCGGAACGAGCTTGGGCAGGTTGGCGTGTCCCTCGCCAAGGATGGCGGGATGGTTCCTAGAGGCAATGGATGCGACAGGAGAGCGTCAGTCCAAGGAGCCTTCATACTTTGAGTGCAAAACAACCACGGTCTCATGAATTGCCACGTACCCCTCAAGGAGATCCAGGAGATAAGTGTATGTATGTGGGGCCTCGTCCTCATCATGGACAATGGGCAGCGCCTGGAACCAGTGGGCGAGAGCGGTGTTGACATCAAAGTGTTGTCCATGGAAGTGGCAAATCTTGCCAATGGCGGAGATGGCGTTCTCGGTGGCAACAACGTTCGCTTCCGAGCGAGCATCGGAGGCGTTGACGATCCCAAAGAGGGCGTTCAGGGCCTGGCAGCAGGTTTGAGCAAAGCTCTCGCCGCCAAACTGGGCCATAACGCCGACACCGTAGGCGGCGGCCTGACGGACGTCCGAGGACTTGTCGCCGAGAGCGTTAGACAAGGCCGAAAGGAAATGGGTATGATAGACCCACGAGGCCGGACCCGTGAACTCAATCAGGTCGTCGTAGACGCAGATGGCCCACTGGCGAGCGCTCGAATCGCTGTTGACCTGCAGATTGGGCGAGCCGAGATGGGAAGGCGGGCGCTTGTCAGTAGCTGATCCTGCTGGCGGAATCGCCAGGTGGTGGGGTAAGTGGAGCGAGCGCTCAAATGTGCCTCGGCTGAGCATACACTCACCAAAAAGTTGTTCACGATCGGGATGATGATTTCAAAGTAGGGCAGGAAGGCCTGGCCGTGCTGCTTGAAGATTTCGTGGATGGCGCGAGAGAGCTCGCTCAGCAAAATGTCATCATCTTCTTCGTTCTCGAGGAGGGTTTCTTCGTCCTCTTCATCGTGATCAGCATCCTTACGGCGCTCTGAAAGGCAGCATTGTGACAGCATGGATTGATAGAGTGGACAGAGTAACTCAAGACTCAGCTGGCGCATGTGTCGCTCAGTGGAGCGCATGTATGCACAAAGTTGCAGAGGGCGGCGATAAAAGCAACTACGGGACTTACCAGCACGCTCCTTGTTACGCTCGAAATACTGCAGGAGCTGGTACTGGGCACCGTTGATGAACAATGCGAGCTGATCGGCAGTCATGCTCATGGGACCGACGGCCTCGAGCGACTGATGAGGCCCGCCAGGAAGGAGTGGATGAGAGAAGCTATTAGAAAGAGCCCTGAGCACATTCAAAAGCGACAGGCGACGGACTCTGCGTGCTGGAAGGTCGCCATCGTACCTCGTAGAACGACGCATAGAGGTTCGCCAGGAAGACGGGGTCAGCTTCGTCTTTCATGGTTTCGAGGGTCTTGGCGAGGACCTTGTGCCAAAGCGCCAAGATCTGGTCCTGGGGATAGTTGGCTTTCTTCCATGAGAGGATCAGCTGGGTGATGCAGGCGGCGGCAGCCTCACGGACACCATCGTGGAAGTAGAAGGTCACCAGAGGGAGGACAATCTCCATGACCTGCGGCACGTAGGTGTGGAAGCCAGCACCGAGCTCGGCAGCGTACGAGACAAGCATTTCGACCGAGGTACACTTGTCGTCAAGAACACTGGTTTTGATTCCAACACGCTGGCCCTCCATCTGGAGGAACTCCCAGCCCTCTTCATCGCCAAATTTCTCCTCGATATCATCTTCGACTAAACCAAACACGCCAATGCAAGGGTTGTGGCTATAGGTTAGAGGCAAGACAGCAACTCGGGCTCGATCTCTAAAACCATCTGCGATTTCAGAGATGCCGGGAACGATGGAATTTGGGCTACGGCGACATGGCAGCTCCTACCATCAAGAACAGCAAAGTCGGGCTTGAGCTTGGCGCCCTCCAGAACCGGAGGCATGACAATATCCAAGAAGGGCAGGAAGTCTTGGCCAAGAACTTTGCAGACACGGGCCCAAGCCGGAGGGAGATAACCGGCCTGGGGGTCGTCGGAATCGGTGATGGATTGCTGAGTGACTCGCAGGATCTCGATAAACTCGCTAGCATGGGGCAGGAACACATCCTTGCCGACAGCAAGCGCTGGCAGAATAAATGACATCAAGCAAGTTGGTGAGGATCAAGTGGGAGGAACACAGCCTCGCGGACAGCGTGGGCATTCGTGCCAGAGTTCCGCTTGCGCGTTCTGGAGACAAATTGCAGAATACGGCGTCGCTAGAGTCGGAGACCCGCTACGTACCAACCAGACTGGCACACTCCATGGCCTTGCCACGGAGCAGGCGGAACTCCTTGGTGGTAGCGTGCTTCATGACGTTCAAAAGCAGGGGCATGATGCTGTTGTAGTAGGCAGCAAACTTGTCCTTGGCGCTCTCGGCCACGGTGGCCATCGAGGTGATGGCCTGTTCCTGAACATATGTCTTGCCCTTGTCCAGGAGGGTCAGAAGGCGCGGGAAAAGGTGGTCCAGGTAAGGCGCCATAACGTCCTTCTCGGCCTCCTCCGAGAAATTGACGAGGGCCGCAGCAGCGTGGGCCTGGACACGGGGATACTGAGCATCGTCCATGCATGTGGCGAGGCTCTCGAGGACGACGTGATGGTAGTCGCTCTGGATGAGGGGCTGTGGACAGATCGATTGAGTTAGACATTGTCGCAACACCAGAATATCGGCATCACTGTGCAATGCTCAGCAGCACTAATGGTATGCATGTCCATCAGGCCCTACGAGTAGGCTCACGACCAACAACAAAGGGCTGGAGTACTCACTGCAAAGTCGGTCGACAGTTGACCAATGGTGTTCAGAGCGGCGTATCGCACCCGGGGATGGGGATCGCGCGTATAGGGAACAACGAGGCTAGCACAGAGGTACACATCTGGTTAGAGAAGAGCACGGCAAATCTCATCACTCCAAGGCGACATCTGCATTGGGCCTGGTCGCTATGCGAACTCGGCAAGCAATTCAGAAGAAGTTTTTCACGGCGGCCATATTGGAACGCAGATCCACATTTGTGCGCAGCGTTCCTCCATCCCGAGATGTATGGATTCATCAGAGCGATAGCCAGCGACGCCAGCTGGTGATCACTGCCGCAAGGTGAGCCAACTTACTCAACAACACGCTTCAGGTCGGCTTCCATCTGCTTCTTGCAGCCTTCTCCAATGGCCGAGATGGCCATGAGGGCAGCATGACGGCGCTGCCACTCCTGGGCACCCAGCATGGCAGACAGGACATTGAAGGTCACAGGAAGCACGGACGCTCCACCTGTGATTGCATTGGCCGGGGTTTCGATCACAGAATGCGACCGATGGTGGTCAGGGGGCAAAGCGGAGCAACCAGCGGGCAGATGAGCACGGGGTGACTACTTTCAACGATCAAGGCCAGCAGACACCGTCAAGACGATGGGGCTGCAATAAGTGAGAGGGCCTGCGTACTAACCAAGGTTTCGAGCCAGTCTGTCCATAGTCTGCTCGCCAACGACATAGTCTTCTTCGTTGTCGTCGTCCTCGAGAACGTCGGTGGTGTACCAGGAGGGCTCATCCTCAAGGTCCGCCATCCACTCCAGCATGATGGGAATCAGAGTACTGGCATACTCAGGGAACTTGCGAACCATGGCGGGGGCGTATTCGCCAATGGTGATGAGAATCTCGAGGGCGGTATGGCGGGTGGCTGGCGAGCATGCGTGCATCAGTATGGGGCGAGCTACCGTCGTTCGGAAACCCAAGCAGTCCAGCGCCAAACTATCCCACATGACGCCATGGAGGGACATGGAACCGGGACTTACAAGCCTCGATGCTCTTGTTCTTCAGAATGCCGACAAGTAGCTGAACAAGTTGGGGCATAACGGAGCGGAAGGTCTTTGGATAGCTCTCCGCAAGTTCGATCAGGCAGCTGAAACAGTCCATGGCTTGGACCTCATCCTGGTTGAGGATCTCGGGAATGGTCTGAGTGATGGTTGAAAAAGTCATCAGTGCATGCCGTTGCACATGCGCATTGTCACCAGGCCTGATGGACCAACTTTGACCCATGAAGCCCAATCATTGAGCTGGATCCCAAGAACGACTCATATGCGGCGCTGCCTGACGTGAAAACACTGACCGACAAAAGCTGGGGGATCAGGGGCTGAACAGCGCTGCGTCCGGCCTTGTTGGCAGAGACCATGTAGCTGACAATGGCCTTCAAGGCAGAGGCACGGATCTGAGGACAGGCCGAAACAGGACGGTAATAGATAGAGGCATGGACAACTGGGTAAATGCCAGCTCAGAGCAAACCAAGCGACAAGCACAATGCATGCAGAGTGGCGTTGCAGTCGGTATGCCGCTATCGGGGCCAAGCCACAGAAAACACGTACGTTCAGAACACCGTCCTGGAGAGATGCAGCAAAAACGTGAGCAACACCGCTGGGGTCCTGTTCAGTAATAAGAGACGGGACCGAGCTGATGATGCGAAGGGCGCTGTCCCGGTGGTCGGCCGAGGGAGACTTGGTGCATTCGAAAACGGCGCCAAGCAGCTCAGGCCACGATTCTGTTGTCACGGCGAACACAGTAGGGTTAGCATTGAGCTTCACAGCTGCAAATGCGCAAATCGGCAAGGGTAACGGGCGCAGGGCATAGACATGGCACGAGGCGGGGCGGGCGCACCTTGCATTGTGAAGAGGTGCTTGGCAAGCTCGCTGATGGTATCGCAGATCTTGTTGCGGACAACGGCGACGGACTCTGAGGAGAGAGACTGGAGAAGGAGGGTCTTGCATCCGGCCTGGATGGAGGGCGAAAGAACAGCCCAGACGGACAAGTCGGCATCGGCAGCCACTTGGGTGCTGTCGTCGATCTTGCGGTTTCGGAGAGCGATGCGTCGGAAAAGGACGGCGGTATAGGCACGCAGCTGCTGGTCGGGATGCTGGACCGACAACTGGGCCAGAGTGGTGATGACAAAGTCGGGGTTGTGGTTGACGAGAGTGTTGAGCTCATCTTCAGCGTGAGAACGCACGGTGTTGTCTGCAGTCTGCAGGTGCTGCAGGACGTTGATGAGGTGTTCGGGAGTATGAGACATGGCAGGCGAAGCGAAAGGTGGGGTGGGAAGCCAAAAGCAAAGCGGTGGGCAAAGAGGTTGCCAGGAAAAAGGTGCGAGGTGCCGGAGAAGAGCTAGTGAGGACCAGAGGCAAGACGGTCAGGGTGGGCCGAGTCCAGAGATCGCTATTCCTGGAGTGGACGATGCGCTCCGGGACAGGAAGCAAAAAGCCGCCCTGGAGACACCCAGCTTGGTTTTGGCCGGTCAGGACGCCAGCCAAAGGCGCAAAAAAAAAGTATGTTGCACACACACACGCGCGCCAATCAGCGCCCGCCGAGACCACTCTGCCCCAAAACGGCCGTTGTGCGACCGGCCCCCGCCAAACCACCGCACGCGATTCATGACGCAGCATCAGGATTATCAGCATCTGCATCAGGATTATCGGCATCTGCATCAGCCGCGAGACAGTTGGTTCGACAAATGCGTACATTTCTGCTCCCACGGCCGTGGCTACGGCAGCGGCGGGAGGTTCGTGCCTGTGGTGGGTTTGTGGCCAGTCACCATTCCATTGGGTCCCTTCAGCTGGTCTTTCGAACCCATGCGCTGCGAGCCCATCCAGTTGTTTCTCATGGTGCCGTTTCTCGGTAGCAAGTACAGCGAGCCGTGCTCTGGTGCCTTCAGTCTCTGCGAGCTTCCTATCGATGCGCTTTGTGCAGCGCCGAGCGGGCTCATGGAGATTTGGCTTCCCACCGACCGCGGGTCGATTTGGCGGTTGGAGCTGGAGTTGGAGTTGGAGCTGCCGTTGCTGTTGGTTTGGTGTAGCTGCGCCAACGAGCTTGCCCTCGATGGCTGGGCAGATTTGGACTGGCGCCGAGCCATGGAGGCGCTCAGTGCCAAGGGCTTGCCGAACGATGCAAGAGCTGCGGTCATTGGACGGACATCGCCCAGCAGATTCCCTGTGCTTTTCTTTGCACTGCCATGTGCATCTCTGACCAGGAGATGGTTCTGAGAACCGAGGTTGCTTTGAGAGAGATATCTGCTTCCGAGGGACGTCTTGGAGCCAAACAGCAAATCTTGGGAGCGCCGGTGACTACTCGGGTCGTGAGATCTGCCGGACTTGCGTGTATAGTCCTTGACGCTGACTTCGCCACCAGTATACTCGGATCCGTTTGGGGAATCAAAGTCCCAGCCGTGCGAATACCCGTTGGATATGCTGTCCGCAGCAGCAGCGGCCCCTCTTCCGAAACTCCATGTGTCCGAAAGGTCATCGGGGCGAAACCGGTTGCGATGGGTCGTTGCCGAGACTGTGATTCCCACAGCCGGAACCATGTCAAGCTCCTCGTTCTCGAGACTCGAGTCGACGTCCCAGTCCTGGACTCTCATACGCAAGGCATTGTTTCGATGATGTGCAAACAAGACATCGACCGTCGGCGGAGGCATTTCAAAGCCAGGAGCATCCGCTGGGAAAAATGGGCCTGCGAGATGATCGTAGTAGCTTGAGTCCCGAAAGAGGCCCGGACGTCTCTCTGGAGATTCGTTGGCTCTATGTAGCCAGTCACGGATCAAGGAGAGCTTTTGCGAATACTTTTGTCGATGCTGTGTGTTCAGTTCGTCATGCAGTTTCTAAAAAGTCCAGCGTTGTCGGTGAGACCAAGTCCATCATGTCTCTGCTCGAGCCCCACCAATCGAGCCTCACCAATCGAGCCCCACCACTTGAGCCCCACCGACTGATTTCACAGATCGACTGGCAAATCGCCAAGCATGGTTCCACAGTGCAAGGTGCCGCCAATGGATTGCGCCGTTTGTTAAGTAGGTACTTACCCGCAAATGAGGTACGCCAGTGGCTGCAGCACCAGATCTTTTCATCAACCCGAGGCTCACCATGGTTTTCTGCAGATTCTCTCGGCTGTTGATTCCAAAGTGCATGAGGCTGGTGAGGGCTGCCTTGCTGTTAACAGTGATCATGTGCACCCGGTAAACAGTTAGTATCCACATGGAAGCTGCATTCAGTGTCCAAATATTGGAATGCATCATCGCTGACAGCTGCAGTATGTGACAGGAAGAGGGAACACACGCAACCACCGGGCGCAGTCCATAGACACCAGTGCAGTGTTTGCGGGCTCATGAAGCATGCCGTCAACATAGCCGCCTGCAACTGCGATCAAGGGCATTCAGGGCCACCAACGATGCCAGCTCAACATACCGAACGGCATCGTTTTTGTCGTCCAGCCGACATATGAGGGCAAATATGATCTCGGGATGATATATCTCATATCCAACGAGATTACTCGTGATTTGGGCGCGGACTTGCCAGCTGTCGTCCCAAAGGCACTCTATCTGAGGCTTGACCAAGAGACCCATAGGATCGAGGAAGTCATCTTTGAAAGTTCTGTAGAGAAAGAGGATGGCCTTGGAGGACTCGCACTTTTCGGACCAGTAGCCGCCCCGCAACACATCCAGGAGGACCGCTATGATGTTGGTGAGAGTCAAGGGCTTTCCCTGGAGGAAGAGATGAACGCATGCAAGTCAGTTTCATACGCCTCGTGTCGATCGCTACTCCAACTGCCAATCCCGGCGGCTCGTTGCTTCCAATGTATCGAGGGCGACGTCAACTATTCCGTGTCAGCCTCGAGCCGCGACCGACTACACACACCTTCAGTCCAGGAAACCAAAAAAGTTTCGTGATCTTGGTCAAGACCTCATCATCGGCATCGTCCCTTTGGCGAATGAGATTCCAGCAGTACTGCTCGGACTCCTGAGATGATGTGTAAATGGCCGGAATGATCACTCCCGGATCGTAGCTCTCGCCCAAGTCGGGCATGATATCAGCCACAATTTTCGGCTCTGGCTTTAGATACTCGACATCAGGGATGTCGAACATATCTGGCTCAGGTTCCGCTTCTTTGGGCTTTTTATAGTGTTCCTTTTCAAACTTGAGTGACTCGACACTAAGCCCGCTGGGCTCGGGCTGTTTGACCGTGTGGCGAACGATGGGTTTGCTGACTCGCTCCGGAGGGGGTTTGAACTTTGGAGCCGGCTTCGGAGCAGTCATTTTGTATTGGATCTTCTTTTCTGCAACCTTGGGCTGGGGAACATGTGGTGGAGCAAACACTCGCTTGGATTCAAATGTTGGTGGCGGTCGTTGCATCCGCCTCTGGATGCTGGATATCTTTGGGAGTGACACTTGCACCTCGATAGGCTGCGGCTCCTGAATTGGCTCCAGGGACTCGGTGGTCGGCTGGGTTACTTCCTCGACAGTGGCCTGGATCGGAAGTGACTGGTCGACCATGACCGGTGGTGGGGCTTCGACGGGAGCGAGATCGGGAATAGCCTCTGGCAATACAGCCTCCTCTGGGGCCAGTCTATCCTCCGGGGGCTGCATGGGCTCCGGCATTTCAATGTTCATCTCCTCAACTTCATCCAGCACATCAAAGTATGCACTTCCGGGCTCTCGAAACGATGTATCGTCAACCAAGAGCACAGACTTCTTTATGATTGGCTTTCCTCGGGCGCGATTTTTGGGAACGGCATATTTGGGTGCAGAGAACGCCTCCTTGGGCTCAGCACGTTTCTCCTCGTGTCTTCGATCGGGCTTGGATTTTGGTTTTATGACCGTGGTCACGGTGGAGTTCGGAAGGGCGACACCGCTGTGCTGCAGCTTCTTGCGAATCTCTCGGGCCTTGGCCTCGGCCTGTTCCTTGGTGGCAACCGGCCGCATTCGGAGATTGGGAGGAGCAAGCTCGGCTTGGACCTTTTTGATGCGCTCCTCCAGCTTCTTGGCCCGCTCCTTCTTTTTCGTAGCTTTTGAATATCGGTACGGCGTCACAAGCAGTGGTTTAGCGGGTGAGAGAGTGGCATGAAAACGCACGCAGGTCCATGGTTTCGTGAGAAGGGGCGGTAGGGGTCAGAGTCGGATCGATTGATGCTGGTTGCAAAGGCGATGAAGGCACACCCATATTCCACAATAGCATCCAAAGATCGCTTCAGACGCAAGTACAAATACAAGTAGAGTCATTTATCGCACATATAGCCCATCGGTGCGCCACTCACCACATTGGATGATTAGGGTTCGATCCGGGACCTCTTCCTCCTGGGCCAGGGCTTCCTTCTGGAATGCAGAGCAACGCTGTTAGCGCACACTTCTCCTTGGTCGTGCTTATGCTCAGATATGATCCAGGCGATGGGCGACTACCTCCGAGAGAGTTGGCGAAGTGGGTCGGATCAGATCGACATTGACTTCCTCGAGCGAGGCGGCTGCAAGATATTTGTCAAACTTGAATTCGCTCGAACCCATCTCAGTATCCAATTGCCCTGAAGGCTGCTCGTCACCGTTGACTTCAAACTGCCTGGCTGCCTTCAAGAGCTTCTTCTCTCTTTCCATCTGGAGGCGGATTTGCCTTCTCTGTGGCATAGTCCGATAGAATGCAGCGTACGTCGCAAATGTTTGAGTCGAAGGAAGGAATCCAAGTTCACTGTAGACTCTCAGTCAGCGAGCTAAAGTTCGCAACATGCGCTGTCCACTGTGTGAATGTACACTCAAGCATATCGAACGAGTGCGGTCTGCGCGAGATCGAATCGGTGACCAACCTTTAAACCTAGTGCGCGTCTCTCGGCCAAGGTCGGACCTCGCAGAACGGCGATCGCTTCCTTCCTCTTGACAGCAGCCTCTTGTGCCTGTGCATCTCTGTTTGATACAGAAGCAGCGGAGAGTGGAAGCGCACAAAGTTTGTGGGAGGTTGTGAGATGATTGTGAGCGCAGGGAGAGATGATTGTGAGTGCAGGGCGGGTGTTTATATCTCTCGTGTGGAGACATTAGTGACACCATATCGTGCCATCGATCTGTGCATGGCAGATGCGCACAGAAGCCGCTATCGAGACGCCAAAGTACTGATTCACTGTCGGCCCTGAACTAGATTCGCATGACGAAAGTTCTGGGCAAACGAACGCGGGATACAGACTTCACCACATGCCATGCCATCGAGTCTTTCTCCAGGCGCTGCTGGTCGTAGCAATATTCCCAAAAGTCAAGGTTGACATCGAATGCCGTTGGCGCTTCTGTCGGATCGTCCTGGAATACCCTTTGCCCAACATCCCGCAGGAGCGCCAATGGCAGGTCTAGATCCGTACAAGGGTCCGTCGATATTAGCAGCAACCAGCGTCCGAGCCCCACTGCCCATACCCTGACCTGATATTCGTGTATCATATGCTTACGGGCCAAGGCTATCAAGGTACAGCTACAGAAGCAGCAGAAACGAATCGAGTGTGTCACCGACATTCTTGTATAGCCACCACTGCTATCTGGTCTCGGAGGCCGACCAAGAGGTCTCCTCGATCGTTGCAAAACAGGATTGACAAGATGGTTTCGTTGAATTGAATCTCCCTGAGACAGTCACCGCAACAAAGTATGACAATGTTGCACCATAGAATCGACTGTCAAGATGGCTGAGAGGACGGATTCCGCCTCGAAACAAGCAGATGTACCCAATCGGCAGCACTCGCCGCATGAGGTCTCCAATTCACCTCAATAGCGCGCCTCCTTGATCCCATATTCTGATCGTGCCGTTGATGCTGGAGGAGGCCCATATACTGTACGACGCCAGATGGACGATACAGGTGATTGTGGCCGTATTTTCTTCATCGGTGCGACGGGGTGTGACCATACCTGTAGTCAACGCCGGTCGAGCGAGTGCAGTGGCAATTATGAAGATTCGAGTCAGTATGGACGCAGCAATACCAACCCTGTCCATTGCCGTTGCAGGTGCGGCCAAAATTGATTTATGGTGCAGATGATGTTGTTGCGCTCACAGAAAGCTTCCGCGCCGATGCCATATGCTGCCAGAATCTCATACTCGTCTCGTTATAGGAGTACAGAAATATCGATCCATTGAAGCCGAGGGCGACTATGGCTTGATCGCAATCCCAGCCGGTCACAGGAAGAGGGCTGTCGAAGCCTTCGATGGACAGGACGCTGACACATTCAAGGACAAAGCTTGGAAGCGGATCCGTCGACGGAACGAGGGGCTCGACCGGCGTTGCTATTCTCCACACCTTGATCAGAGCATCTGGGCGGGTGTATTCACTCATCAGAAACCAAGTGTCCGGTGAAGCGGTCGCGGGCTCTGCGGAGGCACCAGGAGACATCCATCACCTTGTCCGCCAGATATGAGGAGGAATCTGAGATCGTCATAAACGAGTGTGCTGATTTCGGCCGTGTGCGCCTATCCGAGAGGCGTGAGTGCTTATCCTATGAACTTGGCCAACAGAATCATGGCTTTGCCGCTGGAAACTGGACCCCTTACCTGGCATATAAGCTCCTGCTTTCCAAACACTGTGTTGATATTCAGGATTTGGCCATTTGTGCTTCCTCCGATAAGAAAGAGGGTTTCTTTGAAGCCAGAGATCCTGCCGTCGCCAAGTACAAGTCGTCCGGTGTGCCTTGGATCGATACAAATGCAGGCGATGCAGTTGAGCCTCTCCTGAGTCCCTGTGTATCAACTAGGGTGATAAATATCCGATGCGATCAAGCGACCCAATGAATAGCATTGCCGTTGGTACATTCAACATACCGTAGTGCTCCCAGATTCCCACGATTTTGCATGGGTTGACACTTGTGTCATATACCACAACTTCACCTTCGCTCGTTAGGCAAAACGCAGTGTCTGCAAAGCAGAGACGACGAGAGAATGGCGGATTTATCAACGGGTAGACTCGAAGCGTGCTTCTTCAAAGCCTTCAAGATCAATCGAGTCGCCAAATTTGCTAATGGCTGTGTCCTGATCGAAACGCACCTCGCTGATAGCAATACACCATATCCAGTGTGTGGACATCCTTGTGTGTCGGAAACCCTGTGACAAGTGCCGCTCCAGTCACCGGTGATAGAATCTTCAGAGTCGAGTCGGCAGCGACAGTGATGATTCTTGCCGGCTGGGATGGCTCCGAGGCCCGACGCATCAAGATGGGTTGGGAGCTTGCGAGCGCATATGCGACAGCTGGGTTAGTTTGCCAAGACGTATGCAACCCTTGACGGCACAATATGCTGCCTTCCACGAAGAGCCATCTGAGCCGAGAGTCAAGTCTAGCCAGCATCATTTCCCGAAAGCGTGGATGATTCGTACCCCATCGAATAGAATGTCTGATAGTAACGATTGATGTTCCATATTGACACTGTGCTCTTGGAAAAATGAAAGAAGGTGTCCTTCTTGATCATTCTCATTCCAAGGCAAGGCTGCTGTGTATCGATTCTATGTTTTTGGCCGTGTCAGCCACCAAGTACAACACACCCACCGCCTGAAAGCGTCAGCCCGTAGTCGATGGATACCTGTATATGCATGTGCCGAGCTCAAAATTCCACATCCTGATCGAGCCATCCAGGGAGCAGCTCATCACAGCCGGCACGGTCTTTGGGGTTGCACGGCACACACTCTCGACCAGCAGCAGACCGGTCACAGCCTTGAAATGCTCGTGGAACTCGTAGACGAGGAACTTTTGGCAGTTCCAGACTTTGATCTTTCCGTCCTTTCCGCCTGTGATTATGTAACTTAGGGGCTCGTAGTATTGTATCGACGTTATCGACATCTCGTGGATATTGAAGAGCTTGTCAAGCCGCCTTCCCGTGCTATATTTATAGACCTCACAAGCGCATATGGTGTTTCATTCGTCAGCTCTACAGTCGAATGGCGTGATACTTACTCATTACAGCGGTGGCACTGGCGGCGAGAGGAGAGCAGCGTCCGAACTTCGAACTGCGAACTGACTATAGCCGTGAACCTGCGCTTTAGGCACTACTTGCATGAACACTAGCTTACATAGAGGGTTGACTCGCACGAGAAGAGGAGCAGATCCAGACTTGTCTGATAGTGCAAGCAAACAACCCATTCATCGTCGGCCAGATCGCTGATGGATGTCCTTTCGCTCAGCGTGAAAATCTCTCGGTTGTTGACGCTGCAGAGCGGTAGAGGCGTCAGCCAGAAGAAGCTCGATGACAGCGAGCGCACACAACAACAGCGCTATTCACTCAATGATCTGCCTTTCGTCAAGCAAAAGCAGCAGCCGAACCTTTCTCTCTGTAACTTCCACGTCTTGAAGGGCGGCATTGATTTGTGGTTGATCAGTTGCCGCTACAAACCACGACTACTGCATGGCGAGGCAGGATGGCCGCCACATCAAACCCCCGCGAGCGACACGCTGTTTCAGAGACAGGCCAGCGAAGCGTACCTTGATTCTTCCCACCTGTCCCACGACAAGGTGGTCGAACTCATTGATGTACTCCATGCTGACACACCACCAGTTCGCAAGAAAGTGCCTGGTATTAGCATTGTGTCGAGCGTAACTGCTGGGCGGGTGATGACGAGCGGCACAAGCCGCAGTGGCACAGGGCCAGCCGGGATCTTACCAAAGCACCGGCTTCGAGCTGGATACAGATGATATTTCATCCAAATGACTGTCCAGAACCTGATGTGCCCCCACGACAACGGTCAGCACCAGTCGCAGGCAAGCTTCATCGTTTCGAGATGCAGTAGCATTTGGCCTGGTTCGAGTTCCTTGCAAGGTATATGGATGGGCGACACTCAGGGCCCCTGCTCTCATTTGCATGCTTACCCTGAGAGTCAGCTGCGACGTGGCAATGATGTACACTCGCCATTTTTCAACATATACCCATTTCGATATGCCATTCAGGCTCTGGCTCTGCCCGCCGTTGCCAGGCTGCCGAGTATCCCGCGATTTCGTTTCGACCTTGTGCTCAACGTCGGTTCTGACCTTGCGAACGCGCGAGCCTCCGCGCCAGATATGGACGTGGTGCGAATCCAGGGTCACCAGCATCTCCGATGTTATCGATGCTGGCACAAACAGAACCGATTTGAGCGTCGGTCGCGAATGCGGCAGTGTGCGAAGGAGCTGGATGCCATGAGGGATGGTGATGGGCAAGACGGCGAGCTGTGTCGTTGTGGGTTGGCCCTCGATGTTGATTATGGTGGTTTTGGCCACGATGATGGCATCGATCTTGGCCTGCACATCCCTCCAGGGTTGTATGATTGTCATATCGCTTGGTCGCGGGAGGGAAGTGACCTTGGAGGATACATTTGAGGCGATCTTGCTCTGCTTGCGTGGCCGAACGGCATCTGCCGTCTCGGCTTCATCTCCAGAGCCTTCCTCGACTGCATCTGGATCGTTTTCGGAGAGCGGCGAATCGCCTCCGTTGGGCTGGCCCACCAAAAGCTCTGCGTTCGGCGAATAGGGAAACTCAGAGGCCATGTCGTCGTCGAAAGAGCCATCTGGGCTCTGGCGCCGAATAGAGCTGCTTGACGAGGCCGGTCGCGACAGCGTCACCATGTCGCTTGACTGCTCCGAAAGGTCGACAGCGAAATGCGAGTAGCTTCACCGGCAGTGCGATTGTTGGAGGGGTGCAACGGCATCGCAGGCTCAGCTGCAGATGTGGGCCGATAGCCAAAGCTCGAGCCGGCCATCTTGCAGACTGTGCGTTGATTGGATTGGCTGGCCACGCCTGCCTGAAAAAATTACCCGACTGGCTGTGCCGACCACGAAGGGCGTCGGTGTTGAGCAAAGTCCAGCAATATCGCCTGGTCGCAGGAAGAAATACCCTCACGGGCGGTGACTGACAGATACACCAGATCCATGTCTTGGGCAGCGCCGACAGGGAATCGGTGCATGGCGTTCTTGGAGGGCTGGATACCCATGGGTCTTTCGAGAGCCGAAGCGATCCTTTGATTGCATGTGGCCCATCAGACACAGGTCTCTCTTGGACGCATAGTGCATTACTCCATCCCAAGTGCGTTATTACACCCAAGTGCATTACTCCATCCCAAGTGCATTACTCCATCCCAAGTGCATTCTTCGCACCGCTTCTCCACTGCGGCCTCACCCCATTCCAGCCCGTCCCATCCGGCTGTTTCTGTCCCCGTGGCTTCACCCACATTCTGCAGCCCACGTTTCTCGCCGTTGTCCCTCCCCCACCGCCCATTCGGTGCCAGGGAGTTCCACCAGCAGTCTCCACCGAGTCCCGCCGGCCATTGCCGTTGTGCCTTTGGCTTGCTTGCCCACGGCTGCCTCTTTCCTCTCCGTCTTGCTGCTTCGCCCCTGCCGGCTCCTTTCGGTGGCCTGTCCTTTCTGTCCCAGGCCGTCCGCACCCCTTTCTCTCGCTCCGGCCGCCGTCTCCTCTTCGACCCATCCTTCTCGAGCTCTCCGGCCGCCATGTCGGCCCAATCACAATTCGTTATCTATCATGACCCAGACCACGAATCCCCTCTGTGCTTGAATGCGTCGTCCTCGCTGTCATCCTCGGTGTCACTCGTCGAGACCTTCCAGAAGATCGGCGACTGGATCTCCCCGCTCGGCGTCTGTTTTTGCCCAAAGCCAGCCGAGTGTCAGCGGCTCACTTTGGACACCCCTGGTCGCATCGCTCGCCAGGTCTGCGGAGCCGATTCGAGCTGCCGGACATGCACCTCCGAGACCCTCCCTCTGTCAACCCCTTCGTGCTCTTCGTCCTTCAGCGGCCCAGTGAACGCCAGCTCGATTTCGACGGCCGGCTTCGGGTCTGCCTTTGGGACTCGGTACTTTATCTTCCGCACCAAAGGGTCCCGCAGTCCTGGCTGCAGCCCAAACTTGACTGCCCAAGCAGAGCGATCCCCGGTCTTCCCCACCTGCTCCAGGGTGCTGGATGGACTCTATGCCATCACCCTCCGCAGCCCGACGGGCCTGGTTACCTTTGTCTGCTCCAGCCCCAACTGCAGCGACTGCATTCCCGGAGCCGCCTACACTCTGTGGGCTGGATGCGGCACCGTCAGTCCGGGCCCAGGCTCAAGCACCGGCTCTCAGCGTGGGGCCTTGCCTTGGATATTGAGCGATCCTGCCCTGGAGCTCCCGACGGGGTTCCCAAACCAGACATTGGCCTCGTTCACCCCCGCAACGACCCGCACGGTCACCCACGTCTTGGTTTCGCCTGGCGGCCCTGTTGCTGATGGAGGGGGAGGGCTCTCTGGACTTGCCTATGGGCTGATAGCCGGCGGCCTTGGTATGTACATCCACCTCCCAGTCCGTCCTCTGCTCCGGCCTGACTCGGTGCTACTTTGCAAGCATAACAGCCTAGGTCCACGTCCTCATCTGTCACCCAGCTGCCGACTTGCCCTGACCGCCAAATGGTCCCGGACCTATCATGGCTCGATCTATCAGGCGATGCTGACCCAGTTTCCTCCCTGCTCTTGCATCGCAGTGCTGCTCGCGGCGGTTGTTCTCTACCTTTGTCTACAGCGATTCCAACGTCGGCATCGACAGACACAACGCTCCTCTCCCTCTGCCTATCCACTGGCGGTGCCGCCCCGGCCGTGGTCGTTGCCTTCCCAGAGCCGGTCATCACGGCCCGCAGAGTCGCAAGCACATCAGCCGCAAGGGTCAGACCCGCGCCTCGGACCCTGGCCAGCATCCAGATCGCCCAGCTTCGTCCCCAGAAGCCCTGCGCCTCATCGGGTTCCGTCAAAGTTCTCGGTCGTCAGCAGCACCAACGGGCACACCTATCCGTCCAACAGTGACAGGGGGTCGCCGAGGCAGCAGTCGTCCAGTCCTCTGTCCCAACAGGGCACCTTTGGCCGCCAAGCGCGCCGGGTTCCTTCCGATCTGGCTGGCCCATCGCCTCATGACGAGCCTGCGGAAAGTCGACACGACGCAAGTGTGCCCGTCGATGACTCTGCCTCCGAGATCAATTTGCCTCTTAGTCCGTTCACCGATTCATCTGCTGTCGACGACTCGTCTTCGGTCTACAGCCACGGCCAATTTCCGCCATCGCCAGCGCAGCTCGAGGCCTCTACATACCACCCTAACGACCATAGCCACCAGCGCAAGGCCTCTGGACACTATGTCATCGATCCCGTGCATGTATTGCGGCCAGCCACACCACAGCGACTCGGACGCCATTCGCTCTCCGGCCTTCCTTCGCCTCAAACGGACCGGTTCATGATGAAGTCTGTGGCGATCGTACATTTCAACGGCCGGAATCCTGACGAAATCGATACCATGCCGGGCGATATTCTAGAGATACTTGCTGTTCGTACAGACGGCCTCGTCAAGGTAGGTGTCTGCCACCCCGATGCTCTGCATTCTGATCTGATTGCACATTCAGCCGGGCCACCGCTGATGGTCATGCAAGGACCCTTTGCCGACTCGGGCGGCGGAAGGGCATGCTGGTTGTGCCGACGCTGCTGTAATGTTCATCATCACCCCCCATCTGCTGCCCCGTAGGCTCGGAATCAGAGGACAGCCATGATCGGGTTGATTCCAATGAAGGCGGTCGCACCCATCGAGACCGAACCTAGTCCCACCACATAGAGGGCAATACGTAGAGCCCAGCCTTTGTCGCCCAGCCCATCATGCCCGAGCGCCAAGTAATCCACCCCCCCCCCATATCTTGGCACTGCTTGTGGATTTCAGATCCGCTTCAGTGTCCAAGCCAAACAGCAGACCCCCGGTCTTGCCGGAGCACTCAGCCCACCACCACCACCGTGCACACACGACACTCTCACATCTGTATCAGTTTCAGTTTCAGTTTCAATTGTCGCATCTGCTTGCCGCTCCACTCATCCCTCATACCGTCAAGTGCTCTCCCCGCCTTCACCAACAAAAACAGCGCCTCATCATATCCATGCCCACCGATAGCCTTATTGCGCAGTTTGCTCTTTGGGCCATCTGTCAGTTCCATAGAATACAACCATTTCAACTTGTGAATGGACCAACAAAAATGCACATCCAGGAGCATTCGGCAGTTTGGAGTGATGGGTATCAGCGATTATGCCCGTTCGGCTATGCCTGCTTCTCGAAAACGGAGAGCGCGGCAGGGTGCTGGTCGAATCACTCTCCCTTTCGTCTCGTATTCGGCCCTTGGATGACAAGAACGACAAGCAACCACGAACCAACGCAGCCGATTCGTGAGTCCCAGCGATGAGATTTCCTCCCACATTCAGATCTCGACCGGACATGTTCAACGTGTGCTTCCAGTCTCCTCCACCCGCTCGTTCCTTTGGAGGCGCTGTAAAGAAACTACATGTACATTTATTCACATCGGTATCCGTAGCAGCGCTGCCCGCCGGTGTACGATGCCCAAAGCGCTACATAGCAGCCCAGCAATTCATCAGCAGCGGCTCTACCGAAATGGCACCTTGCGGGAGCAGTAAAACGCCTGCGCTGACGTCAAACACGAACAAGCTGCAGATTTCGATGATTTTCTTCGGCAATCTCCACTCTGATGAAGCACCGGCCAGTCCACGCACACGCAGCATGAACGGAAGGATGCGAGGGGAGGAAAGCAGGTCGGAACCATCGATTGCGTCGAGCATGAGCAAATGCCACCACCCATATAGACAATGGGATACCGGTTTTGCATGATCCAGATTGAGGAAGCCCCGTTACGAATATTTCAAAGTCATTTTGCCCATGTGTCAATTTGAGCAATAGCGATGCATGTTGCATTCGGAGGGATGATTCAGTATCAGTGGCTCTATCACATCTCTTTGCTGGTGCCCAGCAAGCAACCTTCGGGAGGCGCTTCAGAGTCCTCAGGCATCGACACGACGAGGAACTCTCGGAGGTAACTTACAGTAACGAGTCAGGTAGATTGAGTTGGATCCGGTATGCATGCCAGATCTGTGGCGAGAGGTGTCGGTGGCGGGTGAGCATGGTTCGGTTCTCCGGTTATCAGCGTCGCTCAGGCGCACGCAAGCTTCGTTGGTGGCAAGATCGACAGGTTTACCAGCTTCACAAAATCCGAAGTATCGCCTGTTTGGAGAAAGCCGAGTTGCCGGCATGGGGGGGGGTGAATGCGTGAGACGAGAGCCTCGATTGTCACATCAGCAGGTCAAGAGTTGCCCGTCCGTCACGATGGCGGCCTTAACCAAGTGATTGTTTGGCTCGCACCTATTAATTGCCCTGATCTTCGCCATATCATCTGATCGAGCTGATCCGGCGTCTTCATCTTCCGGTCAAAGGACATCCGGTGGTCCCATCCGTTCTGTATGTACACTGTCCGCTGATAATCTGGCCATTCTGGTGGCGGTAGCATGATGATATCGACGCGAAAGTTGGGGAGGTTGTGGGCGAGGTGGCATCCAAGGGCTTCAGCCTGAATTGGGCAACAGAGGTTTTGCAATCGGGATGAAGATGCGGCAACCCGATGGTGTATCGACTCTGCAGGACAACAACTAGATCACCGCTCTTCCGGTCTTTCGCCGTTCCGGTTCTCTCCGATTTCATCCCTTGCACGACATGATATGGTTGCATCCGGTGACTTACTCTTGCGAATTCCGGATCGTTGGAGCGTCCAGCAACGACAAAATGTGCCATAGGTGAATCGCTTTTGCAACAGCAGCAAACCAAAAAAATAGCAATTGACGGAAAGCAGATGATGTAACTGAAACGGCAATGTATATGACGTAAACTACAATGGTGGAGCGAAAAGGACACGCTTCTTGAGGAGTGAAGCGAGGAAGGGCGAGGAAGGAGCGAAAGGAAGGAGCGAAGGAGCAAGGGTGGGATCACACAGCCAAAGGTCGAGTATGCAACAGACGCCAGCGTTCGGCTCAAAGGACCCTTCGGATATATGACGAAACGCAGAGCGTGGGAGAGCGTGGGAGAAGGGACTGGCTGGAGGAAAACAAGGCAGCAAGTTGATGGACGCTGGCCCTCCGGCGCTAAGCTGCGAGTCTGTCTCGAGTTCTGTCAGCGGATCGAAATCTGCTTGCAAGAGACGATTGTGTCGAGCCGGATCCGATGATTAGCCCAAGATGGAGCTTGAGAGGAGCTTTGACGGACATCGCGCCGCACTCCCCATGCCATGCGTCGAGCAATCCAGGAATACCCCTCTCGCGATGCTGAAAACAAGGCTCGAAGCAGGAAGAGTGTTTAGTGAGCCAGCAACCTACGTTTACGAAGCCGAGACGTCGCACTGGCATATACCGTCCTGCAGAAGGGAATCAAAACAGTTCAATGCGAGCACGTCTCCAAACCGCTCGACCAGACTCGGCCTGGCGTGCTGGGAAGACACCGAGCAGCATGCTGGCGCTCTCCCGACCAAATCCACGGCATGCAATCGGAATGTCGACGCACTTCCTACTCGCAGCGACGCGTTTTTGAAGACGGCAAATGCTGTTCGGCCACGATTGCCGAAGACGCACTTTTTTTGGGGGGGGGTGGAGGCTGGTTTGCTGGTTGTTTGGCGAGCCGGAAACGGGCGAATAAAATGCCAGCAGAGATGTGCTTCCACAGGCCACGCACTACTCGCAATGATGTTTGGTGTGGAAGCTGATCAGCCGCAAGACAGCGAGATCCCCGAGATGCCGGATACTCAATTGGGTACTCTGTCAGTCCAAGTGGATGTGGCTGCAGCAGATGCCCGTGTGGGTGCTCTGTCGTGTTTGCAGCTGTTATTGTCGTGGGCTGGTCTTGATGGTGGCAGGCCATATGCCTGATGATTCGACCACAACGGAGCTGGGGGAATCGCCGGCGTTGCGGCCCGCTGTCGATGATTATGCCATTCGCGGGGTTTTACTGGAACTGTGGGGAGTAGATTTGATCGCAGCTGCAACAGCCCGCAATGGCTGACTTTGAATGACCTTGGCTACAGCCGATTGGGCTGGGATGCAGAGACCCCCCCCCTCACAATACTGTGTCAATGATTTGGGTGCAGGGTCTGCGCTCCTCGTTTTGCGAATCATAGCTGTAATTGAGCCACATCGTAGGTCGCATGATCTGGGAAAGGATGGTCGTGCGGCGTTGGCTCGGAGTAAGGATAGGAGCCATTTGACAGCTCCACAGCGACCAGCTTTTGTCGAGATCAGATATGCCACCACCAGATCACTTCATGAGCATATCTGAAGGCCTCTGCTCGCTGCTTAAGGATCGTGTATTTGGTTACTCTGGGAGCAATGGAAGGAAAGCCGCTTCCATCTCCCGTTGAAGCAAAGCTGGGTCTGACTACTGCGAAGGGATGTCCGCTGGACCTGAGTAGATAGATCAGGCATGGGTGCCCTTGTGCGGCTCGGGCACGAGGAGAATGTCCAAGGGTGCATCGCTGCAATCAGTGCAATCGGTACAATCGGACAGACTGCATACAAGGTGCGGAATCGTCCGAAGCTCCAGCTCCCGCCCCGAGCCAGAATGCATTCTGTTCGTGCCGACGAACTCATAGCTCGCCGCAGTCGGCAATGACCACTTTTTTCGAGGTAGCGCCCGATGATGATCCGGCCTTCTCCATCTTTCGCACAACGTCAAATCCAGAGATGACTTCTCCGAAAACCTGGTGCCACCGTTGGGGGAAAGGCGAGTCAGCAACAGCAGAGACATTGCGATCCATGCCATCGGGTCGAAGGAGCCGTTGCTGGCGCAGGACTGAGCAGCCCGGGGGATGCGATCGGAAAGCGATGGCCACGCTAAGCATGTCTCAGAAGCCCACAGCCCTGATCAGATTGCACAAATTGCTTGCCGCCGGTCAAAGCAGCGGGCCGCGCTCGTGATTCGCAGTCGATACCCACCACGTGCTTGCCATCGAGCCATGGCGTCCGTTCCAGGGTGATGAAGAATTGCGAGCCGTTGGTATTGGGCCCGGCGTTGGCCATGGAGAGTAGCCCGGCCTTGGTATGCTTGACCTTGAAGTTTTCGTCGGCAAACTTTTCGCCATAAATCGACTTTCCGCCGGTGCCGTTATGTCTGGTAAAATCGCCTGATCGATGGAATATGTGAGTAGACGCAGCGAAAGTGTCGCTCGATTGATGGACACGGATGACTTTGGGTCAGTAGCGCAGATTCGAGCTTGACAACCAACCTCCTTGGCACATAAACTGGGGGATAATGCGATGGAACGCCGACTTTTTGTATCCGTAGCCTTTAGCATGGGTGCAACTGCGAGCGAGGATGGTCGCCATTCCAAAGTTAGCTTTGATGCTCGAGTCGGACACAGACTAGATTGGCAGCCGACGGCTGTCCGTTTCGCGGACGAGCAGATCTGGTACTTACAGCGCACGGAAGTTCTCGGTTGTTTTGGGGCAGATGCTGGAATAGAGTTGCATCACAATGCGTCCAGCCATGATGCCTCCGATTTCAATATCAAAGTAGACCTTGTTGCTCGATGGGGCCGGCGGCTGCTTTTGAGCCTTTTCGGCCGCGGCATCGTCGGTCTCGGATGGATTGGCGCCCGGAGCACCATTTTCGGCACTGGGATCGATCGGCCCGGTCTCTTCGGAGACAGCGATATGCTCTTTGATGTATTCCTCGTCGTCCCAGACTTCAGAGTGCCGAAGGAAAAGTTAACGAGTCGATTCGTGAATATCCACCGATGCAGAGACCTGGCCCGGAATCCCACATCTGGACCCAACGACAAACATATGCTCGCCAGTGGTGTGTCGTGATCGATATGGCCGATGTGCACATATGCACTGCGAGCACACCCTCCGTTCGCTGGATCGGCTGCAGCACGGATCCGGCATTGCGGGTTCGAGGGCAATACATACTAGCTTTGGAGCCGGATGCCGATCCCTGCATTGGCTTTGCCAGCGACACCTTGATGACCTTTCCATAGAGCTCGGCAAATCTCATGTTATCCACGGCGGCGCTTGCGTCGTCTGCGCTCTCGAACTCGACAAATCCAAAACCACGATGGCGGTTGTCTGTTTGAGACGATGTAGATCAGGAGCGGTTAGATCGCCTGGCAAACGGTGCGGCACTCGCGCAGCCAGCGGAGAGAGGGCGATGGGCGAGTATGCAAAGTGTGCATTCGATATCAAGCCATCGTCCGAACGCCGGGCCATTGGAGAGAAAGGGAGCATCGCGGGCCGGGCCGGAGACAGAGTCGTAAGGGGAGAGAAGGACAGGTACATACGGGACGACGGATCGTTCGGCAGCTGCACCGAGACGAGATCGCCGAACGGCGCAAATGCAGCCGTCAGCACATGCTCGTCGACCATATCATCGAGGCCGCCGACATAGAGCACGGCCTTGTTCACCTTGGAGGTCATTCTTGCGGCCGATGCTCTGGATATGCGATCGCACGACGGGTTGGTGCGTCGGAAGAAGCCAGAGCACAGGACAAGCAACGAAGCAAACAGGACAGCCAGGCGAGCCAGCCGCTGGCTGGCCAGGGCGGATCGATCCAGCCCCACAGCCAGCCAGGGAGTGGCGAGCCACGTGCGGCCAGCCAGCCATGTGTCGGCCGGCCACAAGGCGGCCAGCGCTTGGTTTGCGATTCAACCCGCTGGCTTCCAGGGACTCACCTGCATCATCGCAACGCCTGCCCGCCGCACGCAACTGCCGAGACGACTGCCGAGACAACTGCAAAGACGACTGCCGGCCCCTCCCCGAAGGACGCTACGCATCGCAAGGACAGAGCAAGTCCTGACGTGCCCTCGCCCAGTGATCGAGACACCGCCGGTGTCAACCGTATCCCCCGCTTTGCAGCGCATCGAGCCCCTTGCACCATCATGACAACAACGACGGACCACCGCACCGCACCCCACGTCGCTCGTCTCGACACATCAGCCAAAGAACCTGTCGATACCGTGGCGACAGAGAAGGCCGAGGCTGATCTCGAGATCGACGGCGAGGAAGCAGCCGCGCCTCTCCAGTCGCTGCCGCTCAAAGATCTGATGCAGCTCACCGATATCGAGAACATTGTTCAGCAGCTGCGGATTATCCAGGAGGAGGAGTCGCAGCTCGACAACTCGCTGGATGCGTTCCTGCAAGAAAAGCCGTCCAGAATCAAGGCAGCCCTCCAGCCGATAGAGCCGCTTGGCCATGCGGTTGTTCAGCTCAAGAGCCAGGCGTCGGTCCTGGCCGAGCGCATCCACCGTACAACCCATCTGGCGGACCGCATTTCCTCAAAGGTCCGAGAGCTGGATCTTGAGCAGTCCAACATCCAGAAGACGATTCAGGTCGTCAATGATCTACAGGATCTCAAGGTTGGCTGATACTTGCAACGCACTCCCTTGCGGCTCAACTGCCGAGCCCAGTGACCGGTGTGGTGTGGGTGGAAGGGGCCAGAGATAGGTCCCCTGCTTGCCTCCTGGGGCATGCGTTGGATGCTAGTCTGTGGCGTCGACGCTTTCCGCTGCCGCTCGCGGATACTGATGCGTTGATCTGATCTCTGGTACGTGCCAAAGCAATGTGCGGCTGGAGCCAAAGCTGCGATGGACCAGCATGATTACGACCAGGCAGCGCGATTTGTATCAAAATACCTTGGGTTCGATGCCAGTATCAAGTCGTCCCCCATTCTGGAGAGCCCATATCTGTATCCACCGCTTCAAGGTCGGGACTACAGCGTCCCCGATGAATCGGTCGCCACTGCCAACTCGACGAGCCAAACGAGCCCCGCCGCAACAATGAAGGATATCCGGTCAAAGCTACTGGCAATCTTTGTCGAGGGATTTGACGGTGCCATGCTGAAGCAGGAAGATGCCGAGATTGTCAAGTATTTCAAGTGGTTTTCGTTGATTGGAGAAGCCCCGCTTGGGTTGGACCGCTACTCGTCGTATCTGTGCAGCGGAATCAGACGAAAGTGCCAGGATGCCATCAAGTCGTCACTGGATGGTAACGATAGCGCCGACATGTGCTCGCAACGGGCTGGACGCTTTGACTCCGATACCCAGCTTCGATTGATTGTTTCGATACCTCGGCTCGATACCCTTGTGTCAGACTATGCGGTGTCGCATCGAATCATGCAATCGCGTCCAACTAAGCAGCGGCATTCTTCCTTCTCTGGCTGCAGGATCGTCGCAGTTCTCGGATTTGCTGACGTTTCTGTTTGAAAGCATTGCCAACATTGTCGACCGACAGGAGACTTTCATAACGCAGTTCGGCGGCCCCGGCGCGATGCTTCAAATCACCAACCGTCTCGAACGCGAAGCCAATGTCCAGAGCGCCATTTTGTTTGAGCAGTTTTTCGAAAAGAGGCAAGTCCAGCGCAAGGTACAGGAGGTCCAAAAGAAAGGAAAGTTCCCTCTCAATCTAAGCGACATCAACGTCGAAGTACGTGAGGTCGATCTCATTTTGAATGAGATGGCGATCGCGCGCCAAAGGGCCGGTTTGTTCAAACGATTCATTGAGACACGAACACAGGTAGGCAGCAGAGACTACTCTCGGCACATTCATGCTGGCTGGCTTCAGTCTTTTGGACATCAGTGCTAGGAGTGGTGTCCCTCGTGGGAGATGCAGACGCTGTGAGCTTGCACCTCTGCAGGGCTGCTCCTGATTACTTCCCGATAGATTTATGGCGAGCAAGCCGCAACGGTCCCAAGCCAGGCATCCGACCAAGGCGGTGCAGGACACAGTATTGGAACCCTCAGTCAAAAGCTCTCGAATATGATGAGCGCCTTTCAGATTCTGGATGAGTACTTCATCCGCAATCGAATTGAAAAGGTATCGGGCAAGTGCCCAGGCGACGAGAACCACAGGGGAGCATGTGCTTTCGCTCCAATATCGCATGTCGTCTGCATCACTTCCCCAACTGTTGACACCTTCGTCAACGTCCCGACTTTCTAGGCTCTCAAAATCGACGAATACGAAACAGGCAGCGCAATATCTACTTGCGTGGACGATGTTTTCTACATCATCCGCAACTGTTTCAGCCGAGTTGTCAGCACCCACGACGCACGGGCACTTGGGGAGTTTGTCAAATCCACGAGCCATGTGATTGAGATGGACTATATCACCAACCTGCAAAAGAAGCTCGTCAATGGCCTTGGGAGCCAGGTTGTCGGACAAAACGACAAGGACCGTCTGGGATATATGGTACGGCAACGATCGCCTCGAAAGCTCCCTCGCGTAGCCGCCGTCCCATAATGCCTAGCTCGCGGCCGTGACTGATGCGCTCTTTCCGCACAGATCACCCTAAATAACCTTGATGTTAGCCGCGATTATCTTGTCAAGATCATGCACGAACTCGAGCAGCAGGTCGACCAAGTCATGGATCAACCTCACAACAAAAGTAGCAGCGAAGCCACGACTGCTGGCTATTCCAAGACCCACGGCCCAGGCTCCTCGGGCAGCGCGGATCTCGAGCGTATGAAGAAGCATATGGGCGGTTTTGTCGACTGCTGCAACTTGTTCAAGACGGTGCTGCAGGTCGGTTGAGCAGACATTTGTGTCAGTACTGACGCCGCCGCGTCGAGATCTCATCGTCCAACCTGACCATATGCATATTGATGCGACAGACATGGATCGACAATCTCTTCAACCAACTGGTCAAGCCCAAGATCAAGCCACTCCTTACGGACATGTATCAAACCTACAGATATAACCTGACCGAAGACGAGTACCGGTCCTACGACACGAGCGAGGAGGCGCAGTTCAAGTTCCAGTCTGCCATGAGCAAGTTGATGCAGCCGTTCAGGTCGACGCTGACTGCAGGCAACCTCAACCAACTGATGACACACGTCGTCGAGGTGCTAGCCAAGGAATGGGAGCGCATCCTCATGAACATGAAGTTTACTCTGGTACGAATGCACTTATGAGCCGACGAACCAGTGTGTCTGCATGGAGTGGCCGCCGATTGTCGCAGACAGACGGCCTCGCACAGAGATGTTTAATCTTGCTCTGTATTTTGTGTGCCCTTTGGTCCGGTAGCTTGGTGGCCTGCGGTACGAAAAGGATCTCCGGGCCATCACTGCCTTCCTTCTGGCTCAAACCTCCGCCGGCAGCGGAATCGGCAATGCGCCGCATCGCGAGAAGCTTTCGCGGCTCTATCAGATCTCCAATCTGATGAACCTCGAGAGCCCTGGTGAAATTTACGACTGCTGGGGACCCAAGATGGGCCCAATGGCGTGGAGAATGACTGGTGCGGAAATCCGAAGAGTCCTGTCGCTGAGGTAATGTCAAGATGGCCGTTCGCTGTCGTCTTCTGGTCGAGCGGATGGCCAGGTAGCAAACTCATGCGCATGGCAAAAGCTGTGCGGAAGCGAAGCTGACGCTCTGTTGTCCCGTAGAACTGACTTCAAGGCCGACGATATCAATCAACTGAAGCTATGAGGACCGCCGCTTGGACAGCGTGGCTCGTTCCCAACGACGAAGCCGGCTGTTGGTGTCCGTGCTACCTCTGCGAGTGTGCTTTCCAGCGTTGCGGCGTCGCAGAGTTACGTGCTATGCAGCAGAAACCGAGGCATTCCCCATTTCCATTGTGCTTGCATAATCTGTGATAGCTTGTGGCCAACAGGACATACAACCAAAGGGACTACTTTGACTACCCCCCGAGTGAAGACACCCAGCCTTCCACTGTCCACTTGTTCACGATGGTCATGTTGCGCACCGCATTGACCTTGCGACTCGGCCGTGCGCGGCAGCTGGGGATGCAGCATCGCGGTGCATGAGTGTATCCAGAATCCACAAAAGTGCGGTGCAGAACTCGGAGCAGTGCGTCCTGTTTCGTTTTGGGCACGTTGCTACACTGTATTCAGGGGGGGGGAAATGGACACCTGCCCACAACCCATTTGTCAGCGTAGTATGCGATGGCATGCATCCAACTATGCCATAAGAAATAGAACAGATCACTTTGGCAGCCTCCGAGTGAAGACCGCCGGTCGCTCTCCGATCTCCACAATCGACCTGCACACTGTGATCATGTTGCGCGCCGCATTGACGTCGCGATTCCACACTGTCTGGCAGCTGGGATTCTTGCAGCTCCTGACAAAGTGGGAATTCGCAACACTGGGCGCATCGAGTCCTTCCAACCGAACTGGCTCCAGGCAGTTGGAGCACACCTGCGAGGTGTTGAACTCGTTCGTCGAGACTACCTTGACGCTTCCATGATGGTGATTGGGACGGCGTCGGTGGTGCTCGAATTGCTCAAAGTACCGAGCAAATCGCTGCCTCCGAGGGCTGGATGCATAGCCCTTGCCTTGCCGCCATGACGCATTGCCAAAGGCGATCACCACATCGGTTCGTATCGGGGCGTGCTTCAGGACGGCCTTGCACATCCTGTCGACGGCCACTTGGCGCCTCTTGTGGCCCGTGAAGCGATGGTGACGGGCCTTCTTGCCAAGGTGGAAGTCGAGCTGCACTCGCAGCTCCGGTCGCAGGACATGGGTGAGATGGACCTTGAAGGCTTCCGAGGACGACACCTTGGGCGAGGGAGTGGTCGACATCCAGGTCTCGATATCGAGTCGCTTCTTCATGGTGTTGTGCCACTTGGTGTTGGACGTATGGCCACACATTTGCTGGTAGTGGCCATTGGAGAATGAGACCACCTCGTCTTGGTGGCCCGGTGCTTGGATGACTGCCGTGAAGATGGAGCCGACTCCAGGATCGATGCCAATCCAAGTGGTGTGGTCGGGGTCTGGGTTGCCAATGTGCTCCTGGATACGCTGCTCGGCAGTCGGAGGAGGCTCGATGGTCTCGGTGCGATCGGTTCGACGCACAAACTTGACGAGGCCGATGGTGCATCCAATGCCATCGGTGCTGATCTCGTAGTTGAACAGTTTGTGATTGATATCCCGGTCACGGAAGAGGGAACTACGCAGCTTGAAGCAACTGCGCCAGAGACGATCCTGGTTGTTGACACCGTCCTCACCTTCTTCCTTGAGCATGTCCCGGGTGAGTCCAAGACGATGTTCGGTGTAAAGGAGTTGCCAGAGAGTGACCGTGTCGATCTTGACATACTTGGCCCTTGCAGTGCATAGAGGAACCATCGTGCACACGGCCGGAGGAGTGTCCAGAGCGAGCTGCTTGAGGCACCACTTGATCCTGGATGCCAGCTTGTTGATCTTGGCCTTGGTGGTGCCGAGCTCAGACTTGGCCTTGGTGAACCTCTTGTCGTCGGAGGGAATGCCTCTGGCAGTGAGCTCGTCCAGCTTGGCCTGGCGCTGCAGCTCTGTGACTCGGAGGGCGGGCATGTCACAGTCGATCCACTTGTGGACATTGTCGACCATCTTGTCTCGGGCGAGGATTCCCACATGGTGTGAGAGGCGATGGAGGGCCCGGAAGCGGTCCTGGTCGTTGCTGTACCGAAACTCGTCCAGGACGTGGCCAAAGTCTGGATAGAGGAACTCGAGATCGGCCTTGGGTGGAGTCTGCCCTGGTTTCTCGAAGAGCTCGAGACAGGCCTCGATGGCTTCGTGCTTATGCTTGTTGGCTGGGAAGACGGCAGCGCAGAAGCGGCGAAGGAGTCGCCAGTAGGCCAGGTCGAGGTGGGTGGTGCAGTTGGTAGCATAGGCATTGACAGCCAGTGTGAGAAGCTGACTGTGAGCGCCATCAGGCAGACGAGGGGCCGGAGGCAGGTCTGCGTGCCGAGTGGTCTGGTAGTCGCGAAAGGAAGCGACCAGATGCTCGTTGTATTTCTCAATGTCCCTGGCCGTCGAGAGGGCACCGTCCTGGACGATCTTGAAGCATTGGCGAACGAAAGCAGGGGTGGACTTGGAGATGACGGGGATGGGAAGATCCTGCTCGATGCACCGGAGGATGTGCAGGTTGAGCAGCCTGGATGCCTCGAACTGGATCTGGGTCATGGCCTCGACGGTGGCCTGGATCTTGTCGCGGAGAGCGGGATTGAGACAACAGCCATCCATGGTCTGCTTGAAGCAGCTGAACTGAGGGGCGGATGACCTTCCATCCACGAGTGGGACGACAGAACTCTTGAGGGGCCGGTATTTGGGACACTTGCTAGTGTTGCAGCGTTCGTGATCGGTGCCATCGCACTGGCGACATCGCTTGCCGGTACTCGAGGAAGTAGATGGACCAGGCTCGGTGGGATCGACATCCATTGGATCTGCAGAAGCAGTGGTGGTGAGCGACGGAGCAACAGACGACCAAGCATGCGTGGGGTCAGAATACGAACCAGAGACAGGCTCCGACTGTGACTTGGCTTTCTTGGGCCTGGGTGGCCGAGGCTGGCCATCACCGGTACCCTTGCGCTTCGGAGGCATGGGAACAGAGGATGCTGGATGCCTGCCAGTGGTACTGGTCAGAGCAGAGACTTTTTTTTATCGTACAATAGCGCGATGATCCGATCAAGGCGAGATGAGGGAAGAAAGCAGCAGGACGAAGGTGGGACATTTATACCCGAGAGCAGGAACCCGTCTGCGCGGGCTGGTTGGGGAAGTGACCCTGTTCAAAAATCGCCGAGAGGTTCAAGCCAGGGATGTGAACGCGAAAATGGCGGCTTGATTGGAGGGAACTCAACCCCAGAAGCGCATCGCTCGCTCAATCAGCCGTGGGAAGACATCTGGAAGCACCCTCCGAACGGCAGACTCAAACAGGGTCACCATCCCGACTCTGAACCCCTCGGACGCATTCAGCGCTGCTGCCTTCCTGTACTGATGCTTCACAATCCCAAAGAAGTTCTCGATGGGATTGAAGTCGGGCGAGGCAGGTGGGGTGAAGATCACTGACCATCCTCGGCGATCGATGCAGTCCAGGACAGCCATTGTCTTGTGCATGCTGACATTGTCCATCACAATCACAGAGTCGTCTGGGAAGGTCGCTCGCTCAAAGAACTCGACCATCGAGTGTGTCTTGAATGATGTGGGGATGTACATGCGATGCAGCACACCAGAGTGGTTGATGGCAAATGCAGCCGAGACAGACTTGTGCTTCATGTGATTGCGCTGGCGAAGCGGAGCACCCTTCGGTGAGTATCCGTAGAGAGGGAAAATGGATCTCCTGATCCCTGTCTCATCGACAAAAACGAGCCGCCGTGGGTCGATGGAGTGGACCTGGTCCCTGAACTGTGCCACTCGCTCATCCAGTCGCTTGGACTTGTAGAGGTGTGTTGCCCTCTTGTGAGAGAGACCTGCTCGCTGGATGGCAGTGTGGCAGAGTGTGAGTGAAACTTTCCTCTGGAGAGTGGTTGTGTGGCGAATGGTCATGGCCAGCGCGCGATAACATTGGGTAACAAAATATTCGATGAATGGTCAAAAACCCGGGTGTCCCGTTTTTTTTGGATTGCCTGTAATCCATCCCAGGAAGCAGCTTGATGTCCAGCAACGTAATGTTCAATAGCACCCTCGAATCACAGTGCCGAAGCAAGCCCATAGCTGCATGGAAGACACACTTCATATCGCACATGTGGGGATATCCCGGGGGGAACTGTCTGGCTGAAGTGACAGTGTATGCCAGTGCAGATCGTTGCTCCAGTGGTGATGATCCATGATTGATACTGCTCTGTACAAACGATAGCATCGACATCGCTCTCTCCGTCGCCGCCTGCCATGATTGATACTGCTCACCCCCAGGACCGCACCAGTGTCCGCTATTCTCCGGTGCATCGGCGCCCTCCTCCTGCGATCGTCCAAACCCATCCCATCCCGTCTCCATCGCACAACCTTCTCGAGCAGGTCCCCATCGCGCCATCGCCGCCATCCCGACGAGCTCAGTCCGTCCCATCCCGACGAGCACAGCCCGGATCGCCCCCTTCGTATTTCCTCCAATAACAAACACCAAGCATCCGTCTCCTGACCCGCATTCCTTCTTTCATCTGCACCGTTCGGGCTCGGTGTTCGCCGTCACCGCCGGCGCCGCTCGTTCCTTCAACTCGCTTGCTCGCTCATACCTGCTCGCCTGAAATACGACTTGCAGCCCATGGACTCCCATCAGGCAATCGCTGTCGAGTCGCGGCGGCTGCAGAGCTTTTCGCTCACCCCGGATCAACTCAAGAAGCTGTTTGACAACCGTGATGTCGAAGACCTGCGGACGCTTCTCGGCCCAGATACCACCCTCAAAGCCCTCCTGCAGGCCCTGGGCACCGACGCCGTGCGAGGCATCTCGGCGGACGCTACCGAGCTGGAGCACCGCAGATCGACGTGAGCACCTCCTCGGATCCGCATCCTCGTTGCGGATCGATATCGCAGTGCGTTCGCTTCCCGTGCTTGGTCTCGATTCTGATTACTTTTCTCCTTTCCCCTCCTGATGCTGCGCTGTCAACGATACAGCTTCAAGACCAACACGCTGCCCAGCGCCCCGGCCTCGACCATATGGGAACTCCTGTGGGATGCCGTCACAGACACGACGCTCTTGGTTTTGATTGCGGCCGCCTTCGTCGACCTGGGTGTGGGCATCTACAAGGTGTATGCCCCTCCCCCTCACAACGAAAAATACGCATACGTCGACGGCCTGGCCATTCTTATCGCCGGTGAGCAGAGGATTTGTTTGATTGCCTGCTGTCGCATTGGCCCACCCTCGGCTCGTCCACAGACCCGCTGCGCTGTTGACTTTTATCGGCATCATGCTGGCCGGCCAACACAAAGCCGTGTTGACTGCTTGCTCGGTCGCATCACACGTCCGCTTGGTCGCATTGCGTTGTCCCTCAACACAATCATGCTGACTTGCTCACATCCCACCTCCCACACCGCTGCGACGCTCGCTAGTGGTGCTGCTCGTCCTCGTCAACTCGATTAACGAGTATCGCAAGCAGGGCCAGTTCCTCAAGCTGAGTGCAGCTCAGTCCTCGCTGACTCTGGTCAAGGTCATTCGCGAGGGCACCATCGTCCATGTCCCTTCCGTCGACCTCGTCGTTGGCGACATCCTGGCCATCGAAACGGGCGATCAGATTCCCGCGGACTGCCTGGTCGTCAACGGATACAACATGCTGTGCGACGAGAGCAGCGTCACGGGCGAATCCAACGCCGTCGACAAGCGTCCTTGGTCGGGTCGGCCGACTGTCCAAGCAGGCGCGACCGACCCCTTCCTGCTCTCGGGGACGAAGGTGGTCGATGGCGTGGGCCATGCCGTGGTGCTCTGCGTGGGCGAGCACTCGCTCCAGGGCAAGGCCATGCTCGAACTCCAAGTCGAGAGTGAGGATACACCCCTGCAAGTGCGCCTCGGTACCCTGGCCACAACCATCTCAAAGTACGGCCTCGGTGCTGCGATTGTCTATGTCGTCGTCCAGGTGATTTGCTATTTCGCCAATGGCGTTGGCTTGAAGGACCAGATCGCCATTGCCAACGACGTCATCGAGATCATCATCCAGGGCATCACCATCGTCGTGATCGCCGTCCCCGAGGGCCTGCCCGTCGCTGTGACGCTGTCGCTGGGCTTCACGACCCTGAGAATGCTCAAGGACAATAACCTCGTCCGCCACCTGTCTTCGTGCGAAACCATGGGCAACGCCACCACAATTTGCTCCGACAAAACAGGGTATGCTGCGTGTCTGTCGATCTGCGTGCTGGTCAAGCCCGGATGCATTCGGCTGTACTGGAAAGAGGCATTAATACTCGGGAATGAGCGACAGGACGCCCAGCCGTCACTAACGCACCGGGCTTCCAACACCACCGCCACCAACAACGAACAGAACACTGACTATGAACCGAATGAAGGTGGTCAAGGTAAGCACGAGCCCATCACCATCTCTGTTCCTGTTCCTGCTCCTGAATTGAACGAGCGTACCCAGCGAGGGAGACATGATTCTTCGCTCACAGGCTCCCGCTTTCTCGATCACTGCTGCAGGGTATCCTCTGCCGAGTTCCCTTCGAATCCAAATCCATCAACGCGCTCAAAAAAATATTTGACGATGGTCCCGGGAAGGAGCTGCACAGCCGGGTTCTGCACATTGCCCTTCGGAGCATCAACGTCAATACAAGCGCACACTATGGTATCTATGCCACCGGCGACAACCAGCTGCTCAAGAACTTGACTCCAGGCAACCAGACCACCCCCGAGCTCGTTGGCTCCAAGACCGAGATTGCCCTGCTGAATCTGACCGCGAGTCTCGATCGCCCGTACCCCATCGATCGTGACGAGGCCGTGGTCGTCGAGGTGGTGCCCTTCAACAGTGAGCGTAAGAAGATGTCGACCGTCGTGCGGGTCAAGCGCGACACCGCGCTCGAGCAGTATATGGAGTGGCCCTCGGAGATCCTCGTGAATCTCAAAGATGGCGATGCAGGCTACATGATTTACTCCAAGGGTGCACCCGAGCTGATTTTGGAGGCGTGCAAGTTCTACATCAACGAGCACGGAAAGGTATGAACACGCGCAGGGCGGTGCAGGGCAAGTCTATCATCTTGGTGCAAGTCTATCATCCCGATTCGAGGGTTATCATCTCGATGCAGGTAGATGGAAGAGTCTTTGTTTGCCAACGCTGACGCCACTTGGATATCTCTTGGCTATCTAGGTTCGCCTCCTCGATGATGCTGCGCGCGCCGAGTTCAAAAAGTGGATCAAGTCGTGCTCGACAGAGGGGCTGCGGAGCCTCGGAATCTCGTTCCGCCCGATGGGTCCCAGCCAATTTCGACCTGGCGAAGCCTCGACGCGAAACTCGCTGGCCAACCTGGGCACCATCACGGTGCACGAGCTGCACATTCCCGACGACAGCGACATGATCCTGCTGAGCATTGTCGGCATCGAAGACCCGCTCCGGCCGGAGGTGCCGCACGCCATCCAGCGGTGCCAAAACTCTGGAATCATCGTGCGCATGGTCACGGGCGACAACATCGAAACAGCCCGCCACGTTGCCCGACAGTGCGGCATTCTCCCACCGCCGCAGCCGAGCTCGCCAGGGTCGCCGCCGGGTTCGCTGATGCACTACCACGGCCTGGGGCGCGACGAACAGGTCGTCGTCGAGGGTCGGGTCTTCCGGACCCTCGATCACGAACAGATGGTCGAGATCCTGCCAAAGCTCAGGGTTTTGGCACGAAGCACACCGAGCGACAAGAAGCTGCTTGTCCAGAAGCTCAAGGAGCTCGGCGAGTGTGTGGCTGTGACGGGCGATGGCACCAACGATGCGCCGGCACTCAGGGCTGCGGATGTTGGGTTTGCCATGGGAGTTGACGGAACAGACGTGGCCAAGCTGGCGTCGGACATTATTCTGCTCGACGGTGAGTCAAGTGCATGATCAGTAGTGGACGAGAAGCTGGGCTGGGCTGGGCTGGGCTGGGCTGGGCTGGGCTGGAGTCCCCCTCCCTTTGATGCAGCAAATCGATTGGATCTGATTTGGCTCTATCGATGCATCGGCTCGTGCATCTCGTTGAACCAACCGGCCTGTCAACTTACTCACCTTCCACTCTGTGCTTGTGCGGTGCGGCGTGCTCCGCGCTCACTCCACGTTCGCTCCCCCCCCCATAGACAACTTTACAACCCTGCATCACGCCGTAATGTGGGGCCGGAACGTCTATGATGCCGTCAAAAAGTTCCTCCAGTTCCAGCTCACCATCAACTTGGTAAGGCGGCTGTGCGGGGCTTGCCTGGTTGGTTGCTGCGATGGCCTTTGCGAAGGAGGTGTATTTGTGGAATGGTGCCATTCAAGAGTCATGGTCGATGAGGCAGCTGACCAACACATTCTCGCTTCAGACCGCAGTTCTGATTACCATCGTCAGCTCCCTCAACTCAACCTTCACCAAACAAAGCCCGACCTCGGTCTTGACGGTGGTCCAGCTGCTCTGGGTCAACTTGATCCAGGACACCTTTGCAGCTTTGGCCCTGGCCACCGACGAACCCACCCCGGATATGCTCGACCGGCAACCCACGCGCAAGGACGAGTCTATGTTTTCCATTGACATGTACAAGCTCATTTGCTCGCAGGCGCTTTACCAGATCGTAATCTGCTTGCTGCTGTACCAACAGGCGGTCACTTGGTTCGGCCCAAGCGACGGCGGGCTTCCTGTGGACCAGGCCGAGAGCCTCACCTCCAGTATCGTCTTCAATACCTTTGTGTGGATGCAAATCTTCAATCTTATCAACTCAAGAAGCCTCACCAACAGTAAGCCTGGCGATTGCGGCTGGTAGTGTGGTAGTGTGGTAGTGTGGTAGTGTGGTAGTGTGGTAGTGTGGTAGTGTGGTAGTGTGGTAGTGTGGTAGTGTGGTAGTGTGGTTGTTTGATTGCGGCTGCGGCTGCAATGGCCTGGGCTCAGATTGCCAGGTAGCCGATGTGTGGCGGAATCGTTTTCACCTTGGGCTCACCCAGGAGCACCCAGGAGCACCCAGGAGCACCGAGAAGCACCGCGTTCCCCCTTTCACACACTCACACACTCACTCATGCACTCCACTACCCTAGACCTCAACGTCTTCCAAAACATGTTCAAGAACTATCTGTTTCTGATGATCTTGTCGGTGTCGATCATTGTCCAGATCATCATCATGGAGACCGGCAACACCGTCTTCCGCGTGACGCAGCTGACGGTCGCCCAGTGGTTCATCACCATTGGAATCGGCGCCGGATCGCTGGTGGTCGGCGCCATCGTCCGGCTGATCCCAAACTCGCTGTTCTCGTGCGCGGGCCTCGCCAGCAGGAGTCGTCAACGCGAGGGCTACCAGGCCCAAGTGCGCTCCAACGACAAGATCGACGAGGAGTCCCTGCGCATATCGGTTGTTTAGACACGCTGCTGTTCGCGAGTTTGCTCTTGCTCTTGCTCTTGCTCTTGCTCTCCCTCGTCCGCTCATTCGCTCGTTGTCCACTCCCCCCCCCCGCCTCCAAAGAGAAATTTGCGCCAAGGGATCGCCAATGCCTGGAGGATGTATGGCAGCCGTCACAAGCCGTACGATGCAAGCGAATGTTGTCCTTTCGGTGTCGATGCTGGTGTTTTTTTTTTTTTTTGCCGGTGTGACTTGCTTGCCTTTTGTTCTGTTTTCGAATGGTTATCGCAGGCCATGGGGGACACTTTGCCTCTTCCTTCCATAATGTCCACGTTTCAGTGCCACAACCCACAGTCGCAGTCGCCACCTTTGTTTTTCATCAATCCATTGATCCGTTCTATAGCTAATACACAGAGCGAGCAATGTCTCGTCGATAATGTGAGGCTTGACCGTCCGTCGGTCGATAGTTGCTCGGCGAAGGCGATGACACAAGGATCATTCTCGGTTCGCTGGGCACCAGGATAACAGTGGTGGATCCCATTCTGATGGTGGTGCTGGTGGTGCTGGTAGTAATGACGGATCCCATTCTATTTTTTTTATATTCTCTGTCTTTTGGTATTGGTTTGGAAGAGTCGTGGGAAACTCTGTGGGGCCAAAGACGCAAAACAAACAAGAAAAATCAAAAATTAAAATAGGGGAGTGAGGCAAAATGGGGGGGGGAGCACTGTATCGATCTATGATGATTACACAGTAGCGACAAGTCTTGGGCATCGTCAAAACATTTAGGCCTGGCGGCGGTGGCGGGCCGGGTCGGCTCGGCTCGGTTCGGGTCGCGCGGAAGCGGATGAGAAATTGGCAGGTCCGGTGAGATGCTTCGAGCAGGCATACCAAGCGAGAGGGAGTGTGGGGGGGGGGGACGGAAGACTTTGAGGAGCGGATCGGCGAGCGAGCAAGATAGTGATCATAATAATAATAACAATGCCAAGAGAATAGGAAAGGGTGCGGGCCGAGCAGAACAAAAAAAAGGAAAGAATGGAAAGAAAATGAAGATGAGATGGACGAGAGCGATATCAGGACCAAAACAAATCAGGGCGACCAAGTGGCTCGGTGGCTCGGCGGCTCAGTGGCGGTGGGGCTTGGAGGCCTTGGCCAGCAGGTGGGCGTGGTTGGCAACGTCTCGCAAGACGCCCAGGACGATGCCGTTGCCCTTGATGAAGCCATAGTTGTGGTATTCAAGGCCGTGGTCCTTGGCAAACTTGGCAATGTATGGGCGGAGGCGTCTCAGGTTGGTGCGCGGAATGCGGGGGAAGAGATGGTGGCCGACTTGGAACTGCACACGGAACGATGAGGACACAGAGTAAGCCATGCAGTCTCACCGATACGATGGATCATGGAGACGAGAAGCTCGCCAGGCAAACGAACGGTATGCATCGGACGTGTGCAGGGAAGCAGAAAGGGGAGTGGACAAAAACTGGACACGTGCAGCGACACATGTCGAGCCTGGGTCCAGAAGCACCGGCACGCTATTGCGCAACACAACTTACTTGGAGACCACCGTGGAACCAGTCCAGCCACCAGGGGCAATCAACGTCCATGCTGGTTCGCAGACCCATGGCAGCAAACTCCTCGTCGCCAATATCGCCCGTGGGCATGCCAAAGTGCGAGAGAGTGATCTGGACGTGCAGGATGGCGGTGAGGGCATGCGACAGGAAGACGTAGCCGAGGATCCAGCCCCACGAAGGCAGCTGCGAGAGCAGCAGCGTGTACCACGACCAGTAGACAGCCATGCCGACAATCTCGAGCGAGCGGAAGGGCACGCGGGGCTTGAGCAGATGCATCCACGAGTTGACGTAGAGGTTGAAGCGGCCAAAGAGCAGGATGATGTAGTAGAGCCGGTCCTGGATCGAGACAAAGATCTTGGCGGCGTCGTCAAACTCCATGACTCGCTTGTGGTAGGTCGAGTACAGGTTGTTGAAGAGACGGGTCGAGACGGCAAAGAAGGGCAGGTGCTGGATGTCGGGGTCGTGCTCCTCCGAGTTGGTGACGATGTGGTGGACGTTGTGGCTGTCCTTCCACCAGCCCAGACTCAGGCCGCCGAAAAAGTCGGCGAGGAAGATGCCAAAGATGACGTCCTTGGTGGAGTTGTGGAAGATGCTGCTGTGGCCGGCGTCGTGGGCGACGAAAGCAGCCTGGTGCCACAGGAAGGCAAGCGAGGAGCAGCTGGCGAGGTAGGCGACGGCCGGAGGCATGTAGGTCGGGCCGACAAACATGAAGGCAAAGGCGAGGGCCCAAGCGGCAAAGAACTTGGCGGCCTCGCGGACGTAGAAGAACATGTCGGTCTTGTAGAGACCCTCCTTGCGGAGCTGCTGGTCCAACAGCTGGTAGTCTTCGGAGATCTTGGAGACCTTGCGCTGCTCTGGGACGAGCTCACCGACCTGGAAGTGGGGCATCCTGGTCTCCATGACCCAGTCCGGATGGAAGGCGGTGATGGCGTCGGTGGCATCCTTGCCTGTGAGCCAAGATGGAGGTAATTCAACAGAAGTGCGTCAGTAAGGGAGAGGGGGGGACTTTTGCGACGGAGAAGAGGGAAATCGTGGAGGGCCTCCAGGCGGGATAATGAAGGCAGGGCGCGAAGCTGCCGCCAGGACGTCGCCTTCCCCCACCGCCAGACAGTCGCCAGGGCGACGGAACACACCCAGAGATCCGATCTCGGGACGCAGGGTGATCAGCGACAGCCAGGCGATCGGGAAAATCAAATGATCGAGGAGGATGATCAAGTGATCAGGGCGACCGAGCGACCAAGCAGCAAACCGGGTGGATCAACGAGAACGCGAGTCGACGTGCAAGACCCAGCAACCCGGGCAGGCCGTCAATGCTTCCGTCAGATCGGCAACAGAGTGCTGAGGGAGGAGTGGACAAAACGCCCGTTCACGACAGACGATGCTGGCTCGGAAGTGGGCGAGCACAAGTTGCATGCGGCTTGGCTTGCTCGACAAACACACGGCATAGCGCAGCAGGAGGCAGCAGCATAGAACACCAGAACGCAAGGACAGAAAGCAGGGGCGGAAGGAAGAGGAAGCACGGGGAGCATTGGATTGGCTGGTGGGCCGGTTGGTGGTTGGTACGTATGGTTTGGTTTGGTTTGGTCGGTGCAGGGATAGAGAGAGTCCTACCGGCGAGATGGAAGACGGCCATGTAGCCACCCGGATGATACTTTGCCCATTTGGTCAGATTGTAGACCTTGGACTTGAAGATGATCAGGATCTCCTGGGACTTGAGGGCTCGCTCCTTGATTTCCTCTCGGGTAAACAGGGTGACGGGCTTTTCTTGCTTCTTGTCGGGGACGCACATGGCGGCTGCGAGGACGACAGGAGAGGGCAACGGCGGATGGGTTGACGGAGGGCCGTGTGGGATGGGTCACAGGTCGTTCGGATGCCTGAGGAGCTACTGCGAGAAGAGCAGGAGCGAGCGGAACGAGGGGGGGGGAGCGATCAGGAGGAAGGCCGCTGCAGAGCAAGAAGCGAGAGCAGGGGCGAGGAGACAGTATAAAAAGCGGCGGGGGGGGGGCGAGACGAGCCAACGGGACGTTGCGACGAGCGCAAAACCCCCCGCCCAACAGCCACAAGAGCAGAAAAGGGACGGCTTGTTTGCGAGTCGGAGTTGGTCGCGGTGACTGACCTGCTTGTTGGGGGTTGGGGTGTTCCTGCGACCCGCCGAGAGCGAGATTGCCGAGAGCGAGATTGCCGGGGGGGGGAGTACGATGGTAGAGAGCAAGACGATAGCAAGACAATAGCAAGATGATAGCAAGATATGCCAGTGAGCAGGATGGCAGGACGGTTGAAAAGAAAAAGAAAATGGGGAATTTAATCACCGGCGCAATCAGGACCAAAGGAGCGATCGCACACGACTCACTGTTGCTGTTGGCGCTGTTGGCGCTGACGCTGTGACTGTGGCTGATTGGCTGCTGTGGCTATTGCGGGCGGTGACTCGCTTTCGCTGCTGCCGGTGTCAGTGTTGCTGTGACCCTTGCTGCTGTCGCCGCTGTTCCTGTCGCTGCTTTCTGGTTGGAGCTGCGTCGGTGGTGTGTCGCCGCGAGGGCGTTTTTATACCCCGTCCGTGCGATCGCACGCGCCAAGAAAGGAAAGCGTCGCGCGTCGGCAAGTACACTGCCTCCCACGGTCCGCGCACCCGCCGACGCGCCGGGAGACGCGTCCCGCGCCGTGGTTTTGGCCGTGGTTGTGGCCGTGGTTGTGGCCGTGGGTTGGGAGCCAGTCCCGGATCCAGATCTGAACCCTCCTGCAAATGCAAACGCAAACGCAAACGCAAACGCCTTCACATGGGCGCGGCATCCCCTGCGCCGTGCAACCGCAAGGGGCATCGCCGACAAGACCGCCCACCCATGCATTCGACGTCATCATCGCCGCCCCAGGCCCCAGTTACTCGATATCGATGTTGGCCTCGTCGCTCCCGCCATCGCTGCGTCTCCCTCGCTCGCTGCTGCCCACCGAAATTTGCCTGATTCCGCCCCATCTGACAGCCCCCCCCATCCTTGCCCAGCGGCCTTGGCTTCTCTTGGCCCCTCGTGGTTGGTGCCGGCACCATGTCGCCAATCGAGGGATATGCCGTTTTCCCGCAACTCTTGCGGATCTGCCTAAATGCCAAATCACACCAGCATCCCTGCCGCGGTGCTTCATCGCTTGCGCCAAGACGCAGGGTTCGTGGCGCTGGCTGTGCAAATTGTGGGGTTGGTGAGCCACCGATCACAACCACCCTGTTTGCTTCCACCGATCTCATTGCTTCCACCGGCCTCATTGCTCCGTGGGCGCCGTGTGGCAGATAGATTCGGTGTATTTGCTGCTCTTGGACGCTGCTCTCGGGCGCTGCTCTTGGACACTGCTCGCCATCAGCTCTGGAAGCCCTCGTACACCTCGCGCTTCTGGTACTCCCCAAAGGCCTGCTCCTTCCGTTTCTTCTGGTCGCGGTAGATCTGGATCGCCCGCTCTCGCTCTTGTGTCAGGCGGACCTGCTCGGCCATGGGCAGCGTCTTGAGCTTGCGCTTGCGGCCGACCGCCTTCACTGCGGGCTTGTCGTCTCCGGGTCTGCGCGCTGTCTTGGCGGCTTCGTGCTGCGGCTCCTCGGACCCAGACCCGGATCCAGCCTCAGACTCTTCGTCCTTGCCGCTCATCAGTGCCCTCAGCTTCTCGACATCGTCCTGTGTCGCCGTCTGGGAAGTGGCCGTGCAGAGCATCCACGGCATTAGTGTCACTGCACCAACTGGCCAAGATCTCGCCAGACCACTGACTCCAAGATACAATCAGGCAGAACCATTCCTTGGCACCGCAGTCTCGAGTCCAGGGTCGTCTCCTCTCGTCCAACTCTGCTGAGCCAGCGATCATCCGAGAAGAGCATCCACCGGAGCCTGCGGAGCGCAGGTTGCTGCAGTTCGTCACAAACCTTCTTTCCTCCAATCTTGCGGGGTATCACGGAGATCGACGGTGGCGCTTGGACGACCTGCTCGAAAGAATTGGATGGATGGGCCGATGAATTGGTGAGTTAATGGATGAGATTGGCTCCCAAGAGCATGGGGTGGAATGGCAACAAGACAGCCTGGCCAGCGATCGCCCGATGAATATATCTGCTCCCGCTTCCCTTGAGCCTGCACGAGCTCGCATGATCCCGTATGCGCCCGTCGTACCTGTCCAAACTCGACCGTGTCTTGGAGCTTCTGCTCCAAATCAATGTCCTTTCCTGTCTCGCCTCGCTTCTTGGCCTGGAGCTTGAGCTTACGTTGCTTCTGCCATTCCTTGCGCTTGGTTCGTTTCCGAAACTCAGACTGGACAGCATCGTTGACTGCCTTGCGAACGCTGTCATCGAGTCGTCTGCGTTGGGTAGATCAGGTACGCGAGAGCCACGAGCCATGAGTTTGACCCTTGCGAGCATGGATGGGACGACTGCCAATATGCTCCTGTCTGCAGCACATCGCAGGCTGCAATGCCGATACAATCTCGGGGAGCCTAAAAAGATAGAGCTGCCCCGCAGACCTACTTGTGATAGTCGCGGAGACTCTCGCCGGGCAATTGTTTCGTCTTGAGAAGGGATGCCGGTGTGCGGGCTGTCAGATTCAGCAGCAATCATAGCGACCAATGCAGCAGTATGTCACATTCAGGCTCGTCCGTACCTCTGCATCGACGTCGGAGGATTGTTCGTGGCAGATCAACACCAAGGGTCAGGTTTAGCATCCCCTTGTCCTCCTCATCCGTGCCTTTGAAAGCAAGTGGAAGGGCTCGCTTCCAGTCGATTATCTCACGAGATTTGCTGGCACCCCTACCTTTGGTCGACTTGGCTGCTGCGTTTGACTCTGCCGCAGACTTGGCCGATGCTCCGTTTTCAAGCTTGCTGGCTTTGTTGGCCTGGCTCTGCCCGTCTTCCTTGGACTTGCGCTTCTTCGAGTCTGTCGCCTGTGCGGGCCCATTGGTCGATGTCCCGGTCGACTCCAGCTTGGCCATGCGCTTCATCAGATACTGAAACTTTTTCGGGAGCGGATCGTCGTAGAAGACGTGGGTGTCGCCGACATTGCCCTGAACGGTGGCCTGCGCTGATTTCGTGGGTTGCTGCTGCTGCTGCTTTTGATTGTGCTTCTGCTTTTGATTGTGCTTTTGTTGCTGCTGGCTGCTCTTGGGTTGCGCTGTGGAGCTGGAGGAGGAGGATCCCGACGACTTGGGCCGGGATGACGGGCGCAGGTTGGGCGGCAGATCATACTCGGCGGCCTTCTTGGATGACGCTTGTGCGCTCGGCAGGGACCGCGGACCGCTCTTGAATCTCATGCTGGCGGGGCTGCTGGAGGTGGATTTGAGCACCGGCTGATTCCGCCGCTGCGATGCGATGTGGTGCGATCTGTCCAAACGCATCGCAGAATCCAAAAAGAAAACTGCACCCACGTGATGCAAGCTCCGCCGCCACGTGCCTCTGTTTGTGTGTTGGTGTCATGTTTCCATGAGCAAACACTTCCATATGGATGCTCGGCTGGGCAATGCGTGTGTATTCCAGATCCAGGTGCGATGCATGTCTCTGACCAGCACAGAGGGCGCTGTTGGATTGTAGGGGGTGGAGCGCTTTCAACTCCAGAACGAGCCGCTCGGTGAGGACCGGGTCGATGTCGCCGAGCACCAATGGCCGAGCACCAATGGCCACAATGAAGCCCCAGAACAGCCTTCCGCTCTGCCTCTCACATATCCTCAGATACAAAAATAAGGTGCATTGAGACGCTCCAGCTGGAAAGCACCCTCTGCTTTTCTTCGCACCGCCCCCCATCACGATATGCAGAATCCTTCATTGCGCTTGCATAACAGCGCCAATGAGCGAGTCGGGTATGCTGTCGTCATCCTCGGGCTTGGGCTTGGGAACCGGCGCCAGCTGCCGCGCAATCGTCCTCTTTTCGTCGTGGATGCGGTTCAGCTTGGTCTTGGTGAGAGTCAGCCTCCGCATCGACTCACGAGTGTTTCCGATGTGCTCCTGCGGGACGGTGACGCATGCAGCAGTCCTTATCAGCATTCCCGCGATGGTGGAAAAAGCAGCTGCCCCCCCCCAAAAAAAAATAAATAGACCCGATGCTTCAGTCACGATAGCATCTACCTGGGTTAGGTCCCGAATGCGCTGCAGCAGCTCGACCGGGATGGTCTTCTCGACATCCACCAGCGGCGCAAACTCGGGGTCGTCGCCCTGGAACACGTCCGAGATCCGATTCAGCAGCTTGTAGAGCTGTGCCTCCATCTCGATCATCTCCAGGCTCGTGGCCTCGAGCATCTTAAGATGCCTCGATCGCAGGCTGTGCACCATTGGCCGATGGTTCCGGACGTCATCCAGGGACTCAGGCAGCCCCCAGATCTCTGCCAGTTGACCGGGGTCCGCGTTGTGTCGATGGAGCCGTTTCGTACAGAGAGTGGGTCGATGGGGGGGGGAATCCGATTGATCGAGATGCAGTTCCAGAATCCCGTCGTGTGGTAGAGAACAGGGTTCAGCCAATGCACAATCGTGAGCCGGCGTGCAATCGCGAGCCAGTGCGCAATCGCAGGACCAGTACGTAGGGTCAAGCCAACAGAGAAAGCAAAACCACATCATCTCGAATCAGTGATGTTTAGCGTCGCCGGCGAGATCTGACCCTCACCCCGCCTCCCTACCAGTCTCGTCATCGCTCCTCCGCCGCTGTCTCTTTCCCCACACGCTCTCATACCTTCGATCTTGATGTCCTTGTACGGATCGTCGTCATCGTCGTCCGGAGCAAGAGCAGCAGCACCAGGCCCGGCCGCACCAGAGGCATTAAACACCTTCCGCATGATGGCGCGGCGTTTACCGATGCGCCCGAGATGAAAGTCCTGGTCGATATTAGCAGATGCCCAGAGCACAGGACGAGTCGAGATCGTGGCTGGCTCCCGAGCCCGTCTCTTCAGTGTCGGATCAAGCGCCAGATCGAGAGACCCGGATCGAGGACGGGAGGAAGAAAATGAAAAGAGAAAAACAACATTCCCAACGACAAATGGGAGAGAAAGAACCCCCATGGTCGGCCGACGAGCGAGCGAGCGAGTCGAGGCAAATCAAGTCAAGGATATCAAACAGGCGTGTGCATGCGTCAGCGCCAGCGTCAGTGTTAGCGGCTTCTATCCTCTCCCCCCCCCCACCACTCTCCTTCTCATCCATGCAGAATAGAAAGGATATGTTTGTTGCCACGGTTGTAGGGTCGGTAGCTGCTCGGGCCAAAGTCTTCGGTATTCTGATCTTCCTCTGAAATCGGCACATGGCGAGCATCATGATAAGAAAACGGCCTCAAAGATCAACCTCGAGCAAAAGATCTGCCCTGCCCTGCTCCCATATCTCATCATCACCATACGATCATGGACGAGGAAGAAAGGGAAGCGAGGCGAGTCGAGGGAGCAGGAGAGGGAGGTCCCTGGAGATACCAGGCGGCAGCGATGTCGGAAACGATACTGTGTCGCCTTTATCAAACGGTAACGGCAGAATAGTGGCCTCTTCCCCCCCTCCCTGTTCACACACGACCTCCACAGCGAGTCCATACCGACGGGTGCAAACACGGGGCCGTTTCCGAGGGCGAACGCAGGATTTATCGGTTGGGGGGCAGATGCGGACATGGCTTGGAATCGCAGCGAGTCGGATGGAGGATGGGTCAGGGATGTAGCGGAGTCGTTTGGAAGGCGGCAGCAACAGCAGCAGCAGAGAATGATGGTGGCGATAGCGGTGCCGAGGAGAAAGCTTGCTGTTGGGGGATGCGGGATGTTGGCAGAGGCGCCACACGATGGATGGATGGTGGCCAGCCGACAGCGATCCTCAGCCAAAGCGGCGCGTCACCGCTGATTGGCCCGCGAGACACATGGCGAGCCATCGTTTCTCGCTCTTGGATATTCCCGCTCATCGAAGCACAGGGCTGGACAGCGATGGAGGAAGGGGGCTGGACGTTGGCCGCAAGCCAGCTCACAGAAGCACAGGGACCAACAGCATGGTATGGCAGAGCAGCTCTGTTGACGGGTTGAGGCTGGGGAGGAAATGCTGGCCGAGCCAACGACACCACAGGCCAAGCAACACAGGACCGAGTGGTGAGTAGTATAGGGGTATATCGGTGACTATACCGTTTTTGAGAGATGATGTAGATGGGGAAAAACGGTATAGGCGTTAGGGTAGGGGTAGACGTGGGGTGGGGGCTGTGGAGGACGGTAGGGTTAGCGTAACCTAACGGAAGACGGGGTAGTCGTAGGGTACGGCGGGGTAGGGGTAGATGATGTGGCTGGCGGGGTGGTGGTAGGGGTAGTTGGGGTGGATGTGGTAGTGGTGGTAGTGGTGGTAGTGGTGGTAGTTGTGATATTTGTGGTATATGGTGTTTTATTGTGAGGGTTTAGGTTAGGTTAGGTTAGGTTTAGGTTAAGTGTGGTTGTGGTTGTCGTGGTAGTCGTGGTAGTCGTGATAGTCGTGGTGGTTGTGGTAGTCGTGATAGTCGTGGTGTTGTGATAGTAGTGGTAGTCGTGATAGTCGTGATAGTAGTGGTAGTCGTGATAGTTGTGATCGTCGTGGTCGTCGTGATAGTTGGGTTTGGACGTCCATCGGGTTTGGGGGGGAATTCGTCCTCTTTTATATTTCTGTCGTCTGCTTGCGTGTGGCTTGGGTTTGTGTGGTCCGTGTGACTTGTGTTATCGGGAGGGGGGACAGTGTGGTAGATACCGTATCTGTTGGGTTCGTTGGAATTCAGTGTGGGATGTCGTCGAATGTGGAGTATTGATATATCGTTGTTATTGTGGTTTGTTGATGGTTCCGTGGTATCCGTGCGCAGTTGTGTTTCATGTCTGTTTGTGTGGTGTCCGCTGGGGTTGTGAGAATGGTGTTATCGGTGTGTATGTTCTGGGATGGTGGGTATTGTGGTTCGTGGTGTTGTTTGGTGCTGCGCTATCATCGTGGGCACTCGTCGATGGCAGATCTTTCTGCTTGGTCGAACATGGTGGTGCGTGAGGCTTTCAGGTCGCGTCTACATGGTCGTTGTGGGTTCATGTTGACGCTTGAGGAATAGCATAATGGTCGTACTGTAAAATGATGGTCCGGGGTATCGACGTCATGTGGGGGCTGGCCCTGGCCCCATGGCGGGATGAGCACATCATACAGGAGTGATTCGTGCTGGCGGGTATTGGCGGGTTGGCTTTGGCGGGTTGGTTTGGCGGGCTGGGTTTTGGCGGGATTCCCGGCCCATAAATTCGGCTGGTGTTGATGTTACTGATTGCCCCCCAGGCAGTTGGGCAGCAGCAACATTCAAGACCGTAACGTAAGTGCATTTCCTTCCGTGATGATACTCCATGCATGTCCGTGTGTCATGCTGTGCGATGGCTAACATGACTCGGCACCTCCAGTCTGCACGTTCCATTCGCAGAAACCAAAAATGACAATCACAATCATGCTCCTCCTGGCCTTCGTCCTCTGGCCCATTGCCCACTGCCTACTTCATACTGCCTCTTCTACGGCCTATACTATCATTACCTACATTGCCTATATTACCTATATTGCCTGCTATCTTCCGGCACAAACCATCCTATGCATCGCATTCCGCGATTACTACGCGTCGCACGTCACTATCGACGCCCCAAGACATTCCTGCCCATCCATGGCACATCCGAGACCATTCCTGTCTCTATTGATCCACTCGAGCCTCGCTCGCGACACCAAGACCACCAAGCTCGATACTCTCCCGACTCAAATGGGAACCACTCCTGGAACATGACTCTGTTGATTTGATATGATTTGATAAGCCCTCTGCCGCCGCCCATCACCAACTGGTTCGCCAGTTGAGACCTCCAGCTCTGTCTGGAACCACCGTGGCTCTGTCCACACGCGAGACTGGTTCATTGGTCTTCGCTTCAACGACCATTACGGTCGGGTTTGAACGCAAATTTGGCGGCGGCAGAGGCGGACCTATGCCCAAATTCACACGGCATACGGACACCATGTATTCGATATTCGCATGCAATACATTCCAATTGCACTTGCGTTCTTCCCACACTACTTGCGGAACCACTTGAACAGACCCTTCGGTTTGGCTTGTTCTTCGGTCACTCAAGCTTACTCATCGACTGCTGTTCTTGCCTCTTCGAAGGCGGCTGTGATGGCTGGTCGAGCTTCGATGTATCTGGCAACCTCGGCTCGGATCTCTCGGGTGTTGAGGTAGATTGGCTGTGGTGGTAGGAGTGTTAGTTGAGGGACTGGAGGAGTGGTGACAGGTGGCTGGACTTACCAGGATGATGACCGGGCGGTGGGGTGTTTCACGGGTCAAAATAGCAACCCCGCCGGATGGAGTGAAGTCATGTTTGTCCCAATCACCAAAGAGGGAGTGTGGGACCTTGGTGATGTGGCTGCCATGGCGGATCCATTGGGGAGCGTTGTCTTCATCGATTTCGGTCCACAGGGATGATGCATGTGGGTCGGATGCGGTGGTAAAGTTGGAGGGATCCTCGTCGGATTGAACCCACTCGTCACCGCGACGGACCCAGAGGATTTGGTTGTTAAAACGGTCGCGAGACAGAATTGAGTTGCCATCAGATGAGATTGCCACGGAGGTCACATCCCTTGTGTGTCCCTCGAGGGTGTGCTTCACCTGGCCTGTGGTGGCATCCCACACCTTGATGGTATTGTTGTCACCAGAGCCAATAATTGACCCGGACCCAGAGACAATCCACTTGCCATCGGGTGAGATCGCCACGGAGGTCACACCCCATGTGTGTCCCTCGAGCGTGTGCTTCAGCTGGCCTGTGGTGGCATCCCACACCTTGATGGTCTTGTCCCAAGAGCCAGATACAATCCACTTGCCATCAGGTGAGATTGCCACAGAGTTCACTTGGCTCGAGTGGCCTGTGAGTGTCATCTCGCACGGATGCCAGGTGGGTGCTGGACCGGCCGTGACCAGGAACGGGATCTTGTCCTCGAGTTGGGTGGCATATGTCTTGTAGATCGCCGTCTCCTTCGGTGTGAATGCATACCCCGAGTTGTACACCTGTGGTGCACTCGCAATGATCGGGTCGGCAAATTCGCGGATGAATCGATACGTGTCCTTGACCAGTTCCTTCGTGGTGTCGTCGACGATGGTGCTGGGTGCCTTGGCGATCACTCCTCGCAGCACAGCCAGTTGCTCGATGATCGGCTTGACCACATGTGTGAGCGACCCACACTCGAGCCAGTGGAACACATGGCTCGACATGAATTGGGTGAGAGACGGGGCCAATTCTTCGAAGGATTGTGTCTCAAAGGGATGGTCCAACTCGACACCATTGACCTTGGTACCCTCAGTCAGATGGGTGACCCAGTGGGCGACGCTGTATCGCAGCGACGGTGTGATGGTTTTGTTAACCCTGTCCTCGAGGTCTGGGATCTTGTCGTGAAAGTCGAAGATCTCGCAGATGTTGATCACTGGCTCGTGCGAGAGGATCACATCGAGACATCCCTTGGCAAACACCGTGTGGAACGAGCTCGACACATGCCATGGCTCATTCTTGGACTCGTCGCCGAGGAGATAGTCCGCCACCGACTTGTGGTTGAACTTGACCTCGCCATCGTCGGTGGATCCGTTGGCACCAGGAGCGAGAACCAAGTTGAGACTCCTCAGGCATTCGTGAACTATGCGGAGTGCATATCCCTCGGCCACGTTGCGGAAGAAGATCCCGGCAATCATATTGGGTGTGAGGATGGTCTGCGATGTGGCGATAGCCGAGATCACGGTGATCAGTTCGTCCTTACGACTCGACACGGAGTGGATCTTGGTGAATGTGATCCCGTAGAGCTGCTTGACATCAGTGGCGCTGTCGTTGATCTCCCTGATCTTGTCGAGTGTGATGGCTTCGCTCTTGGCCTGCTCCTTGAGCGTGTTAAGGATCAGGTTGATCCACACGAATGTCTTGGATTTGTCATCGTCAGCCGAATCCTTGGTATCAGCTGGCTTTCCATGTTCATTCGACTGAGCCGGGTTGTGGAGGATGATCTCGATGGCCTGATCTCTATCGACCTCGGTGAGTCCCTTGTGCTCGTTGGTGAGTCGGTGTCTGATGAATACCCTCAAGTCGGCGATATTCTCATCGCTCGAGGGCTCGATTGTTTTGGCATTCACTCCATGGAATGCTGCCTTGATGTCGTCCTCGGGACGAGATGTCAGCAGCAACTTGAGCCACGGACGGGTCTTGTTCAGCTCGACGAACCGCCAGGCAAGCAGACTGAGCAGCTGGTCGCGTGGAGAGCACTCGTCGAGTGCATCCACCAGGATCATCACCGATCCCTTGGGTCTGTATTTGCCGATGGCTTCGAGTGGATCGGCAATCACGGCCTTGAACAACTCGGGGATGGACATCTTGTCGAGACTGTCCTTGGAGTGGCCAGCATCGAGCAGCTTGCGGCCGATGGGGGCATACCACTGGCACAGGCCGTATGCGATCGTGCTCAGCACGGCCCGCGGATCGCTCTTGCGGGTGTCGTTGTACTTGAGGAACAGCGCCGACACCAGCTGGCTCTTGCTCCGGAGGAAGCTGGCCAGCTTGGCTGCGGCAACAGACTTGCCGACACCGGCAACGGCATTGACCCACAGGACAGTGTCGGCGGTGTCTTCGTTGACCCAGTGAGTGACTTGGTCGAACAGCCACTGGCGGGTACCCTCGACATACAGATCCTCAAGGTCGTGCTGGTCCTGGGTCGAGTCGACGGGATCGAGGAGGGATCGCAGGAGCGAGTCTTGTTCGGCGGTGAGGACGACACTGCCGCCCTGTGTGTACACATCGCCCTCCTTGGCGGCTGTAGAAGTCTTGGTGATAAGTTCTCGGATCTTGGGAACCAGCCTATCGAAT